GTATATTCAAAACGAAAGAGTAGCAGTCCTGGCTCTCATCTGCCGCAATTTTGGGGCATTTGGGAGCGTCTCGGCGCTTTTTGTGTGGTCGGGGAGCCGACCCACTTACTTAGCGTGTATGGTCAGCAGAGTGGCCAGGTAAGGCGCTTTTTCTCAATGGCCACGTATAGTAGAGCCACAGCTTGATCAAGAACTCGAAATAATGCCAGCTGTACTTGTACTACATATGGCAACTCTGCAGGTAGCAAATGCTATAATCCGCTGCTATAGAGTATCGTCAGGGGCCACGGCGGCGCATTTCACCGAGGGGCTCAACTAGCCGGGCCTCAAACCTCAAGATTCAAGCTGCGACGAGAATTCGGGACCAAGCGATATGGGGAGGGAGGGGCGCATACGACGTCTGTTTCTGGAATGGACAGAAGTGGCTTCTGTTCTCTTTCTGGAGACTACCGCGTAAACCGCGTACTGATATACCTGTAGTTGTGGTGTGTGGCGAGGTCCGAGAGAAGAGTTGGGTGACACAAGCCACAACATTGCTTGGGATCATATACTGACTTCAATGAGCAATCATTGCGAAACTCTGTTCTACAATTCACTCTACATTACCCGCCTGATATTCATGAAGAGCAAGACACATGTGTATCAAGAATCAAGATGCATGCCTATTAGTCACTCTCGGATCCGACGCGTCGCAAAGACCCAATCAGCGACGCGTGATTTTCTGCGCCTGCCTCCACATTTGCCACGTGCGCGCTCATGGCCGCTTCTTCGATGATAATCGTCGAATGCTTCTGTCCATCATCACTTTCTTTTTCCTCTTGCCTTTCCATTCAACAACTCCCCTTTACAACCACAGCCAGTTACAATTGGCTCATGAGCAAGAAGGAATCATTCAGCGACTTTCTCGCTTCCGGCAGCGGGTCGCCCATCGGCGGAGGTAGAGGGGGGTGGCAAGGTCGAGGAGGCGGATTTCGAGGAGGCCGTGGTGGTGGCAGAGGTGGTATGGCTTCCAAGAATTCCAAGAAGAGTTTCAACGCAGACTATTCGGACGTCGCTTTCAGCTATGAAAAGCTGAACAGCGAACGAAAGTACTCCAAGATGGAGCGTGAGTCTTATCGATCTCTGGACCTTTGCCGGCACTGACGCACGATGTAGCTTCTGTTGCGCCATTCGGCCCCAAAGATGCTACCAGCCAACAAGACATCCCTCATGGTCCGCGACATATACCACGACTCCCTCATGCTCCTGGCGTCGCAACACCCAACAAGATCCGCGGGCTCGGATTCCACACCCCCGTCCAGTCCGACTCGGACACTGCTCGGCCTACTGCAATGAAGAATAAAAACAAGAACAAGTTCAAGCCTGGGAACTCGATATGGGGAGGGGGTGGAGTGCCACTGTTTGTAAAGGCTGGCGAGCTTTTCAAAGATGGAGAAGTCGATGACATCACTCATCAGGACGAAGGTGAGTGTCATGATCACGGTTGATATACTGTGGCTGACGTTGTATGATTGCAGACAAGGAGATTCATGTCGACAAGCTCCCCCTGTCCGATCCATCAGCTCCACCGATGTCCGATCTGCAGGATGAAGTGGAGATCGACGTCTATCGTCAGCCGTCCATCGTGCCCGACGACATTGCGCCCAACGTGGCCGCAGATGCCGAGCTTGAGGGAGAGGACGTCGCGAACGTGACCAAATTCACCGAGTCGCTCTCTATTCACGCCCAAGTGGGTGATCTCAGCATTGATCAGGTGGACGAGGAGTATACCTGGAATCAGAAAGCTACGGAGGCAGCCCCGGTAGAACCAGAGGAGCCTCTGTTCTTTGTGGACACCGAACCCGCAGACGATAATGCGTTTTTCGTGGATACCAACCCGACCGATGACAATTCTGGTCCCTCGTTCACGCCACAGTACGACACTGTATCTGCCCCTGCTCTCGGCACGACCGCCAATGCAGATTCGGACGAAGAGGACATTGTGTTTGTGCCCCGGACACTCAACCAGCCGAAACCTATCGCTCTTCCCTCGTACGGCCAATCTAGGCAAATTCAAACACAACCCCAGCCAGAATGGCAGCCCGCACCGGGTCCTTCCCAACCTCCCACACACTGGGGTCCGAAGTCCCGCATCGTACCGCCGACCTACTCTCCGCCTGACCAACGGGCATCTCTCCATTGGGACGACGAGTCCTCGGCTCTTCCCCAGTCCTCCCATGCTGCCAAAAAGCTGGGCAAGACCGCCAAACGCGCTGCTCGAAAAGAACGCAAGAAGGAGAAGCGCGGTGCCCGTCGTTTCGCCCTGGACCCCGCGCCCAGGGTAGCCAGACAAGACTCGGATGTCGAGTGGGGGACGCCAGGACCTCCATCAGGGGATGAGATGATGAGCGTCGATTCCGAAGATGGCCGCGCCCGACGAAGGGAGAATGAGGATATCTTGAGAGACTATATGGAAGGTGTCAAGCTTGGGCTGCGTAATGATCAAGAGGATGAAAAGGAAGATGATGGGATTGATGCTGAAGCTCTTGCCAACTGGGCAGACAAGGCGAACGCTTATGCGGGCGGCCAAGGCTTTGACGACGACAGTGAGGACGAGGAAGTCAAGCCTGCCGCGAAAAAGGCCAAGTCTCAGTCTCGCCCCGTTGCAGCTGCCCCTCAATCCAAGGCGCATGCTCTCGAAGCCAGTTCGGAGGATGAGGTTGAAGAGCTTGCCGCTTTTGACCCTTGGGTTCAAAAGGTGAACGGGCAGAAGCAAGAGAGCGATGATGGGATGGATCTCGAAGAAGAGAAGGTCAGCCACAAGCCCCACGTCGTCAGATCAGAGACAGCCTCCCGTACCCTTCCCTCCGCTCTGTCCAAAATGCCGTCAGAGCGTCAGTCGCCTTGGGAGAGAAGACAGGCTGATTCCCAGAACATCGTCAAGGACGACGGGGATGATGCCGATTCGCTCGCGCAATGGGCCAACAGAGTCAACAAAGGCGGCGATATCGACAACGATGACGAATCCGATGAGGATGCTCCAGCGTTGGCCAAGAACCAGTCAGAAAGACCCATCGTTCGCTTTAGTCAGCCAGCCACCCACACTGATGACAACGGCGGCGCGGAAGAATATGATGATCTCTCCAATTGGGTAAATCGTGTCAACGCCGGCGAAGAGCTTGACGATGACGACGACATGGGCATGTCTCATGCCCCGGTTCAAGAGAAGGAAGAACCGCAAGAGGGATGGCTTGGTCACACGGCTGAAGAGGACAAACGGGTGTCCGAGGCAAAGGATGAAGACGACTCGTCGTCGTCTGGGACCTCGGTCTTTGATATGACGGAACTCGAGGAACATCATCGCAAACAACTCTTTGACGGTTCCAACAAATGGGATGACGAAGGTGGGGATAAAGGAGAAGAGCAAGAGAATGACGACGATGAAGAGGACGAAGTGGGAGAAGACGGTAGTGAGGATAGTGAGGACCAAGGCGATGATCTTGATCAGACAGATTGGTTTGTTCAAGCAATGGAGGTCAGTCCAGGTCATGTTATAGAATCCTCATATACTGATATGACAACAGGACGCCTTGATTGGACGTGATGTCGATCTCGATGATTATAGAGGAAAGAGCATCTTCAATCCTCTGGGGGAGGATACTTTCCCTGACGACTTTGGTCTTGGTGCGTAGACTCATCATGAGCAAGCCATTCGATCGCTGACAGTCATCCAGCACCCACAAAGAAGAGCAAGAAGGGAAAGAAGCTCAAGGGTATCTCCATGGAGCTTCAAGTCCAGTGGGAGAAGGACAGAGCCACCAAAGCCGAGAAGAAGAGGCAGAGAGAATTGGAGCGCCAAGCTGAAGTACTCGATCTATCTGCGCTCTTGGGCGCCTCTAGCTCGAGGCAGGCAAAGGGAAAGAAGGGAAAGAAGATGGACAAGAAGACCTCAAAGAAGATTGCTCAAGCATCTGTGGCTCATCTTGTATCCGGCTCTGCAGCTGAGATTGCAGACATGTTCTCTGACGAGAATATGTCGGATGAAGACGACGACGTCGAGTTCGACATGGAAGGACAGGGCAAGTACGGTTCAGGCCGCAAAGCTCAGAATGCGCGCTTCTCAATGGGTGGCAAGCGTCAATCCAGACCCGCGTCGCCTCAGTTCCTGCCTCAGCAGCCTGGACGGAAGAAGATCCCCTCGGCCACCGATTGGACTTCTCTTGACTGGGTGGATGACCTTATCCAAAACTTCTTGGATGATAAGAAACAGGAGCAGATCACCTTGCCTCTGTTGGACAAGGCCACCAGAAAGAAAGTGCACATGTTAGCGGACTGCTACGGTGTAAAGTCCAATTCTCGTGGATCTGGAAAAAAGAAGTCGATGTGAGTATGCTCCCTGCCATGTCTTGATCGTATACTGACGATACATCCAGTGCTCTGAACAAGACCAAACGATCAGGAGTCAATGTCAAGACGCAAGTCCGCGACCGCCTTCTCGGGGCTGCTCCTTACTCTGGAGGCATGTTCTACAAGGCACTGCACTCCAAGTCTAGTGCTGGAAAACCGAAAGTCAAGGGCAACGACTGGGGCGCTGGTCAATCTGCCAAGGCTATGGAGGGAGAGGAGGTCGGATTTGGTGCAGACAAGATTGGCAATGATAACGTCGGCCACAAGTTGCTCAGTATGATGGGCTGGGCCGAAGGCGAAAAGATCGGAAAGGCAGGAGGCAGTGGTATCGATATGCCGTGAGTCAACATTCAGATTTTAGGGGACTCTAGCTGACAAAAGGAATCAGAATCGTGGCTGTCGTCAAGAATACCAAGAGGGGTCTTGGAGGTTGAGGAATTTGGTGTGCAAAGCCATCTCATAGAATTTTTCCGTAAGAGGTATCATTACTGTACACATCGTCATGCCTTCCATGACAGATCGACATCCAGAAAACAGATGCATTACTTCAACACTATCGTAGGGTGGCAGCAGCACGGGTATCTATATACAAATCCATTCACCCAATTTCAGCCTCAATGCTCAAGACCCATCTTCAAGGAGCCGCCGACGATATCCACGCTCTCCCAGTCGACCTTCTTCTCATTTTCACCTTCCGCCTCATCAGTGTCGGATTCAGCCTGCTTCTGAGCTTGGCGCTGGCGACCTTGGATGTGGATGAGTGTATTGCGGAAGTGCTGCAACAAGATTAGTGGGAACCAGGGAGACATTTCAGATAACTCACCCTGACAATCATATCCCCTCCGCTGACACCTTCCACCAGACCCCCGCCCGCTGAGCTCGGGTGCACATCCCCAGCATGCACCGAGTCAATGTTGGAAGTGATCAGTTCCACCAGGGAATTGATATACTTGGGAGTCACAGCTTCCACGCCTTGCTCAAAGTAGTAGATGTATCGGTCGAGAGCGTCGACGTAGAGCTGGACAGACGTGATCTCGTCGATACACGATGAGGCGATACGGAGAGATTTTTGTAGACACTCAAGAACGCGTTTGCCGTCCCGGAATGGTGTCTACATTTTGATCAGCTCATGCTGTCAAAAAGTAATGTTAAGAACTTACCTGATCATCCTTCTCTCGTCCCGGCACATCTCCTTGCCACCACATATGACTAGCATACAAGACAGTGGTAGCCTGGTGACTCTTTTTCAAGAGCTTGCTCCCATGCAGCGCCGCCTTGGTGATCAACGTATCGTAGTTGTCCACACCAAACACCCTACTCGTTTGAAGTGCCGAGATGATACCTGTGATAGCTTGGAGCTGAGCCCGGGATTCGGATATCGACTCTTCGTAGATTACGAAAGCTTGCACAAAGAACTCGTATGTGAGTTCTTCCAGGCGACAGTCATCGGCAACCTGGGCAGCGAGCAAGAACAGCCGAAGACACGTTTCGGGAGCTTCAACCTTGTGATACAAGATGGAGATGAGCTGGTGAATAAATTTGAACAATGACGACACCCGTGTTTCCCAATCTTCCTCTTCCTGCTCTCGAGCCTTGAATCGTCGCGCGAGTTGAATACCTGAAGCGATCAACGGAGGGAACGTGAAGCGAATCCTCCCGCCGCCCTCGCTAAAGTGCGTCCGGGCAGTCTGTAGGAGCTCGAATTGGGCGGCCAAGCTGTCGGCTTTGAAGAGATGGATCATGCGGGCGACCCAGCCTTGCTCTTCGGCCATTTCTCTCCAATCGACCTGTTGTCCGCGTCTTTGAGGAGCGCCACCGCCAATTGTGTTGTCTTTTTGGTCTTTGACCGAAACTGCACAAAGCCCGAGGACTCCACTGACATCGTCAGAGGTCTCGATAAGGGTGTTGTTCTTCAAGATGGAAGAGACAACCGCTTGCGATATGGCGAGACGGGTGGGGTAAGGTTGGGCTGAGAGTAGGGGCGTGTATGCTGGTATAGCAAGAAGAGTGAGGATGGAGAGGTACAATGAGATTGGGGCGAGGAGAAGCGCAAGAAGGTTTGCGACTGTCTGGGGGTGGAGAAGGTCGGGGCTGCAAAAAGTCAGTCATGGTGTCTCAACATCGATATCTGACTCACTTCTGGGCATACTCGAGGACCTTGCCATGGGCAAAGGCAAGAATCTGGTCAACATATTCGAGGCGGTCGGGATAGCAGCTCAAAGACAAGTTTGTCAAAGACACGCAAAGCGCCGTAATGTCCATGATGGACAGGTCTGGTCGAGCCTGAAGCAGGTTAGACACCTGTAAACGACATTCGAGGCAAGACCCACTTTGATAAGTTCAACGACCTGAGTCCAGAACACCTCAAACAGCTTGACGTCCTCCGGGATACCCCTAAACTTCTTTGTGTGCTCCTCGGTCTTCTTCTCTGCCACTGCCTCCTCCTCGCCCTCCTTCTTTTCTTCCACGGGCTTTGACGACTCCCCGTTGGCTTCTTCTTTAGGTGATGTGGAAGGTTTGCCATCGGCCTCTCCAGCCCACTCATCCGCCTCGACGGGCTTGGCCACCGGTGCAACACCCCTTTCGCCATCTTCAACCTTCTTTCCCTTTCCTCGCGCCCCCTTGACCTTTTCTGCTAGCCTCTTGGCCGCTTCTTCTTCGCCCTTCCGTTTCTCCTCGGGATCTTCATCTTCAGCTTCTCTAGCCGCATAAGCAGCGAGCCTGTCGATCAACGCAATGACGATTTGCTTGATGTTGACACGGAAATGGAGTTGAGCACAAGCGCCGAGGAAAGGCGTCAAAGTGTGGAGGTGGAAATCATCCGTAAACACCTGGATGACGACTTCCATCAGATACTCTTGGGCAATGACGTCCCGACAGTTGACCACCTGCTCCAGCACCGCTGGGAGGATCATCTTGCTGTACATGTCGAGGTCAACGCCCTCCAGCTGGGAGAGACGGACAAGGTTGGTGCCGACGAGAATTCGAAGATCTTTGCGCTCCAATTCGCGCCTTTCACGCTCACGCGTATGGCCTTGGTGCTGAAGGCGCACCCAGAGCTTGTTCATTTCGATAAAGTTGGTGAGGACAAAGCCGATGGAATCTTGGAGGTTGCCTCCGGGTCTAAGGCAGGGTCAGTCAAGCCGTGAGTGGTGGCATCGGACGTACCCGTCGCTGGTGCCCACTGGCAAGAAGTCTCGGGTCTGGCCCGAAAGGTAATGTCGGAGGAACAAGCCTCGAGTGGGGTGCTGCACACCTCTCGACATCTCAAGCATATCCTTCATGATCTCCTTGACAGGGGCATCTGGGATGGACATGTACACCGATCCAACGGTGATCATCAGATACAGTCTTGGCACAATATTGCCCGCATACCTAGGATCCTCTGTCAGCATCCAATCGCATAGCACAATAGGCCTGACTCACTGTACGAGCTCATACAAGTCGGCCAGATGCTGCTTCCCCTCTGTATGCGCATCATACAGATAGTTGCTCAGATATCTCAGGCTGTCGAATACCGACATGTACAGCTCATAGTACTGCTTGGGCGAGAGCGACGATGTGCGCAGTTCAGAGAGCATGGACGAGGCGGCCTTGAGGGCCTCCATGATCTCGTCCTGGTCGAGACATCGTTTGAGCTGGACGGTCTGTACCTTGACGTTGGCGAGGGCGTCTGAGAGGAGCTTTGCTTCCTCCATGGTGGCTGGATGGCAGGGGGCGGGGGGCTTTACGCTGTGCTGGGATGTAGAGATTCGCTGGAACACTGCCTGATACCATCTCGGACGGCGCGGTCTCCCGGGCGGCGGTGTCACATCATGGGCGGAGGGGACCGCTTCTGGTTGGTCTCGTTGAGCAGTGAATGAGATATGTAGTTGTGTTACATGCATGATCCCTTGTACATAGTGTAGTTGCTGTGGTGACCTCAGCCCTCAAGCTAAGCACAAGAGTCCATATGCATCAAAAGCTGATCGTATAAAAGGAAAGTGAAGATAGCACCGCATTATACGGTCGTCAATCGGTAGGATGGTCATGTGGAAACTAGAGACTTTTGCGATGAGAAAAAGAGAGGAAGGAAGGAAATCTATAAAAGAGAGTTATTACGAGATCAATCGTCACAAACATGACAAGGGGGACGGCCCAAAAGTGCAGTAAGATACAGAGGGGCCACAATGGGCAAAATTGTTCGTCAAGTTCATCATCCGCCGCCAATCATCCTCATGCACGACTCTACACCACTCTACGCCCTCGGTTCACACACCTAACGACCAGATCACGCTTAGTGACTTGTCAAACTCCAGTCATCGAGCGACACATTGTTCACGCTGTCAACGGCGGTAAAGTTGCTTCCCCATTGAGGAGTGAACAAGACCTGCAAGGAGAATGATCCTCCATCATCGACATCAATGGTCAACACTGTGACTCCGGGGTTTTCTTGGTCTGCGTTGATAGTGCCAGTAGGCAGAGCAGGGTCGCTGCTGGCTCGAGTGGGCTCGGCAGTGCTGAAAGCAGCGCCAGAAGGACCCTGGACGATAGAGGCAACAAGAGTCTCAGAGTCGAGGACAAGAGTGGCAGTAGCGTCGGAGAGAGAGACGGTGGCGTTAGTGTGCATCCTCCACTGGAGGTTGGGCACAGACTCGACGTCGTCCTGGAGGAGGATCTGCTTTCGGGCGTTGACGAATCGGATACCTCGCTTGACGGTGCTATCAAGACGTCAGTAGGGATTTGGAAAGCGAGTGGAGTACTTACTAGTTGTAAGCAGAGGACATGTCGGTCCAGAAGTAGGCAGTGTCATCGCTCTGGATCTCGAAAGAGGGAGCAGGGCCCTGAGCGGTTCCGGAAGAACCCCAGTTACCGGTGGGGGTAGCACTGACTTGCTGGTTCTGCTCGCTAATGAGAAGCGTGTTCTGGCCCTCAGTCGCCTTCCGGTAGTAGTCCCATCGCTCAGAGTTTTGCTCCTCGCTGCTAAAGTAACCGTCGGAAAGGTACTGTCCAGAACCAAGCTCACCCGCCCATCGCTGGCCCATGGCATCAATGACAAAGTCTCCGATATCGAGATCACCATGGGTCTGGTGACCAGTGAGCTCGGAAGCTTTCATGGCCCAGTAGGTACCGTCGTTGTCGGCCCAGCTGGAACGGGCAGTAGCCCACTGACCCTCAGACTGGTCAAAGTGGTGGTCAAGAGGCAGGCCGTCCCACCAAGTGCCGTCAAACGCAGGGTTGTACCAGAACATGGACCAAGGCTCGGGGGCGTCATAGTGGTCTCGCTGGTAGAGCGCGTATCGTGGCTGGTCAAACCTGTTGGCCCAGTAAAGAAGAGAGTTGGCAGTGGAAGAGTACTTGTTGGGTCCGTGGTCACCATAGTTGAACAAGGAGGTCATGCCCTGGACGTAGATGTGGAAGAGGGAAGTGTGGTTCCAACCATCAGAGTTGGACTCGAGGAGACCACGGTCATTGCCGTAAGAAGACTCGAGGGCGTTGACTATCTCGGCCGCACCGGTTGTACCAAAGTACCAGTAATTGGCAGTCTCGGACCAGGTACCGTCAGAGTAGGGAGCAGTGAAACAGTTGTTGAGGGCATCGGCGGTTGAAAGGTCGAGAACAGTCTGGGCAATGCCCGTTGGATCTCTGTCGATGATGGCGATGGCGGCAGACGTAAGACCGGCGTTAATGACACAGTTCCAGTTACCGTTGACAGCAGAGTTGCCAACGCCGGTACCAGCCCACCAGTTGTAGGAAGAAGCCTCGGTGGAGCCGTTCAAGGCGAGGTTGCCATAGTAGAGACCAAGGTTGATGATGGACCACATGATGGCATCCTTCTGGTCATCGGTCCAGAAGTCGTACAGCCAGTCATATCCAATAGCGAACGCGTTACAGAACTCGGCAGCGTCGAGAGCGTGGTTCTGCATGTTCCATCGAGTGGTCTCGTTACCGAATGAGACATCAGAGTTGTTACCAGCAGCGGTCCGCAACTCGAGCCAGACTCGGTCGGCATACCTGGTCTCGTTGGTGACCTTGTAGGCGTAGGCCCAGTTCTTGACCTTGAGCTTGATTTCTCGGGCGACATCAAGGACACCAGAGCCAGCAAGACCACCATCAATGTCATAGGGGGTAGGGTCGTCGCTGAGAGTGTCACTGGCGTTCTGGACGATGGTAGCGTTCCAGTAGTTGAAGTAAGGGTTGTTCTCGATGAGACCGCCGCTGGTGAGGGCCTCCCACTTGTAAGCAGGGGCGAGACGGGGGTTGGCTCGGATACTAGAGTTGGAGACAGTGTCGGGGTCATCGGGCCAAGAGTCGGTGGACGCGGCATCAGAGACGGTAGTAGGGGCAGAGTAGCCAGCAGTGTTGGTCTATCTATCGTCAGACGATAGTTTTGCGCGAATAAAAATCACTCACGCCGGTGGCATAAACGGGCAGCATGTATTCGCTGTCGGTAGCAACGGCAAGGTAGACCTCGCCATTGGCACCAGTATTGGTAGCAGTGTTTGCGCTCGTCACGCCACTTGGCAGACCAGTGTTTGCGTTGGAGGAGCCAGTCGAATCGGAACTAGAGGAAGAAGAGTTGTCATCATCGCTTGAGCTTGATCTTGACCCGAGGACACCACCAAGGACAGCAGCGATGATGATGGCGATGATGAGAATGGGGAGACCGATCCAGAGCCACTTGTTGCGCTTCTTCTTGGCGGGCTCGTAGCCGCTAGCGCCACCATAGCCACCGGGACCTGATGTTGCGTTGGGATTGGAAGAGGCCATGGGATAGGCTTCAAGAGGGGGAGAGGGGGATAGTCAGGATGGAACGGTCAAATATATTGGTCGTCGACGCGTCGGGGACCGAGTAGAGACGAGGCCGGAAAAGGGCAACGAGGATTGGACAAAGGAGAGTGGAACATGGTAGAAAAAAGGAGGATGAAAAAGATATGTATATGAGCATGGGATATCCTCTGGATGCACTTTTGCTCACCTTCGTGGCCACCAGAGTACTGGTTGTAGCCGCCCTGCTGGGGGGAGTCGCTGTAGCCACCGTAGTTGCCCTGCTGCTGGTAGGCGTTCTGGCCGTAGGCAGGAGAGTCGGAGTAGGGGGCCTGCTGGTAGTGGGCCATGGCAGGGGGAGGTAGAAGGAGGAGTAGAAGACAGAAAAGAGTGAAAAGAGAACGCGCTATTCTATTTCACGCTTCAGGGTGCAGAGCTAAAACAACGCGAACACCGCCACTGCCACCTGAACGGCATCAAATCTTGCTCTCATATACACCTATGATCTGTCTCTATCCCCACTATCTGCCAATCTCCTGAACAACGCAGATATTGCGCCTTTGTGGATCCCATGAGAGCCATCCAGCCAGATCTCCCTCGTCTTGCGCGTTCTGGAACCAACCCCTTGTTGCAGTACATGCCACGAAACTCGGCACACTCTCTTCAAGTATTGCATCTTATATTGTTCTATATGTACTGTATCTTTCCATATGTATCTCCGATGCTAACCATCTGGGCTCATTCTCAAGCTTCCCTTGCAATCTCAAGGCCGATTCTAGCATACCCCTCTGTTCAACCTCTCGTCAATTCATCATCATGTCATCGTCATATGTTGGCGGAGGACCCCGACGCGGGGTCAAAATTCTGTGGTCTTCTCGGTACCGATCTCTGCACAGTCTCTGCAGGATCTCCGACTAATCTTCGCCCTTGCTTTACACCGTCACGCTCCCCACAAGTCCCTCTTCCATCCTATACTTCACCAGTGTCCATCATACACGTGAGCCTCAACAATTGATAAACATGACCTAGCTGACTCTTCTCGCTCAGCTGCAATGCCGCCTATCAGTCCCGCAATCCTTTCCAATGTCTCGGGTTATATGAGCATTGCCCTCTGGGTCGTGGTATACAGCCCTCAAATATGGGAAAACTACTGCCTATCCAGTGGAGAAGGCTTATCAGTGCCCTTCATCGTCCTCTGGCTTTTGGGTGATTTGACAAACCTCTGGGGAGCATGCCTGGCTGGATTGTTGCCGACAGTGATCATCCTTGCGGTCTACGTGAGTCGTCTTGTATTGACCATGGTCTGATACTAATGAAATATAGTATACCATCAGCGACGTCATTTTGCTGCTCCAGGTGTACTATTACCGTCGCTTCCCCTCAGCCCAAGCCCATGCGCACATCTCCCCCTCCGACGAGTCTACCCCGCTTTTGCCCGAACCCCGCCAACCGAAGCCCCTCCTCCCCCCTTCCCTCGAGTACCCTGCTCTCCTTGCGTTCGTGCTCTTGTCTGGCGCGGGAGCGTGGTATCTGACCGACAAGGATGAAGTCCACGTGCCAGTTGAGCCTGATGTGACGTTGGAGTGGAAGAGTCAGACTTTGGGGTGGTTGAGTGCTGTCCTGTACTTGGGTAGCCGTATTCCTCAGATCGTGCACAATTAGTGAGTCGTGTCGAAGAGTATATGGCGGCACTGACTTTGGTTGAAGCAAGACGAGATGTGCCGGCCTGTCCCTCGCCATGTTCTTCTTTGCCATTTCTGGCAGTAAGCACTGTCCAACTATCTACTCAAGTGCAGCACTGACTTGAAACAGACATCACCTACGTCCTCTCCATCCTTCTCAAGTCACTCAACCCTCGATGGATTCTCGCCAACTTGCCTTGGCTCGCTGGGTCCGGTCTCACAGTTTTCCTCGACTTGTTCGTCCTTGGGCAGTTTGCTGTGTTTAGCTGGCAGGACAAGCAGAAGGAGAAGGTCTTTGTGGAAGAAGCCGAAGAAGAGGAGGAGGAGCAAGTCTAGTCGGCGTCTCCTAGACATTCATTGGTTGGCATGTATCATATATCCATGTAGCGCATCATATTCATCGCTTCCTTCCCGACAAGCCTCTCTGCTACTCCCACCATCCTCGTGCTGGTGATGTACTCACATTACATACGTACCACTCTCAAGCTTACCCTATGTACCTGTAAAGCTCCGAGGTACCAGGCACCTCCGCGCGTCGCGCGTTCAATCTTTTTACTATCCTTGGATCGCGTGTTTAAAGCATTCACCGGTACATATCGACCTCGCCTTTCTATACATAGTATCCACAAGCAACAATACCTAGACTTTGACTCTTCTCAACAACAACCGACCCTACCTGGACAATCCCCTCGAAGAGCAGTGCTCAAAAAGGGCTCCTGGCCCCACTGTCCACTGGACGACTCCTCATCCTTCGCCATGCCTATCCACATCCCCAAAAGAGCTCTCCGCTCCGGGATCACCATCGTCCTCTTCTTTCTCGGTCCCATCATCATCCTCGGCCACCTCGCCTCTCTATCCAACCACACAGACGAACACGAGCGCTGGCACGCCGTCTTCAAGGAGGACCACTCGGAAGCTGGGTGGAAGGATGCAGAGGGACTGTCGTTACAGGAGAGCAACGACTATTGGTATGATGAGCTTGAATTTGAAGATGAGGAGAGGGAGGGGAGAGGATCTCGGGTGAAGCATGGAAAGCCGAACCACAAGGGGGATGCGCAGCAACCAGCGGAACTCTCCCATGCGCATCGCCTGCTGCCAAATGGCTTGCTAATAGCAGACCCCTCATCACCTCATCCCATCTACACTCTGATTGAAGAAGCGAACAAGAACTGGGAACAAAAGCTCGGCAAGGCGAGCCGGTCATTGTCGGAAGCTGCGGACGAGTACCGCAGGCGATACGAGAGGAACCCCCCGAGAGGCTTTGACAGATGGTGGAAGTATGTGCAGGAGAATAATGTGCAGCTGCCAGATGAATATGATCAGATCGCAAGTTGTAAGCTATACCAATAGATCTAGCGCTTACAGTGGCTTGTAGAATCTCGACCTGGAACCATTCCACGCCTTGACGCCATCCCAGCTCCGGGCGCACATGGATACCGTCTCCCGCCACTCTGGCATGTACACCATCTCCTGCCCCGGAGCCTCCAACTCAAAACCATCGGCGCGGTGTACTTTTGAGATTGTGGAGGGAGGGTTGAATGATGAGGGCAAAAGAGTAGCAAACCAGCGGGCTAGGGCGCAGGTCGAGCTTTTGGAGGATGTCGAGGAGTTGCTGGAAGAGGTGCAGGTCACATTCTTTAGCCACGATGTCCCTTGGCAGTTTGTGGGGCATGAATATGTGAGTGGCTTGGTGTTCGAGCGTTGCTGATGTATGTCAGAAAGGAGCCTTGGAGGATGCCGCCGCCGTTGGCGAATTCTTGAATACTGAGGAGCACGAGGTATGAGGTCCTGCCGCAAACGCGCGCCATCCTGACAAGAAACAGCTTGACACTGCCCATCTTGGCTGGGCATCTGCCTGTGCGCCCCACAAACCTCTTCGCGAGACTTACGACCCCAGCATCCTTCCCGACCTTGCCGATCTATGGCAAAACGACAAATCTTTCATCTGGGACCACAAGGCGTAAGCCCACTTTTCTTCGATCCGATCGGGATACTGATCAACGGCAGATCCATGGATCCCTGTATACATCCTGAGCTTACCCACCTGGTCGGCTTCTTGTCTGGTCACGGCAAAGGTCCCGGACCCCGGAAAGATATCTACCCGGTGCTCGCCATGTGCAAGACCACACTCCACGCAGATGTCCTCGCCGTCAGTCTTTTCATTTCCCCCACGCGTATCCCAGACTGATTATCAGAAGGTGTCGATGGAAGCGTGGACAGAAGATGTCGAGCCTGATCCCGCGTGGGAGCACAAGGACGATAGGATGATTTGGCGCGGCAAAACGACAGGCATCTTCTTTCGGGAGGGCGTACCGTGGAGTATGTCTCACAAAACGCAATGATGGTCAAGCTGATGCATATGCAGATATATCGCAAAGAATCAATCTTGTGCAACATACCGGTCAGAAGGAAGGAACTCTACCCGTCCTGCCCCCCGCGTTGGATTCTTCCTCGCCTGTGGGCTACCCCGTCGAAACGCCTCTCGGGGACCTCAACGATGATCTGGTGGATGTGGCGTTCGTGGACCACGCTATTCAATGTGATGATGCAGTGTGTGACGAAATACAGGAGAATTATCACTTTGGTGATCGCAAAACGTGGGCGGAGGGTAACGGGTACAAGTATCTTTTGGACCTTGGTAAGTCAACCTTAGATATGTTGGTCAATGCTGATGAGCGCAGACGGGAATGGCTGGAGCGCAAGGTTCAAGCGATTGATGACTACCCAATCTGTCGTCCTTAAATCCACCATCTTTCCCGAATGGTTGGTCGTCTCTACTGCTCCAAGACATTGATCTGACAAGGATACAGGTACACAGATAGGATTCAGCCATGGGTCCACTACGTCCCGCTGAAAGCGTCGCTCACTGATCTGTACGACGTTCTCGCTTTCTTCCGGTCGTCCCCCTCGCACGACGATTTGGCCAAGGGTATTGGACAGGCGGGTAGGGAATGGAGTCTCGCGTATTGGAGAAAGGAGGATATGATTGCATATCAGTTCCGGCTCTTCCTCGAGATTGCGAGACTGATGGCTCCTGATCGTGAGACGGCGTCGTTCCATCTCAGGGGAGATGACCTAGAATAGATATTGTTAGTCGGCTATAGATCATAGAATCATAGAAATGCATCATCGCAAGAGTCAAAAAAGCTCTAAGCAGAAGAAAATACAAGTATCTATATGCTCTATATTGCAAGAAGAAAGGCAAAGATGATACCATCTGGTATCCTTTTTAGACTACACTCTCTCATACTCTCCAACCTTTTCCGACTGCCCTGCCTTGATACGATTCACAATCTGTGAAAAAGCGCCCGCAACCTTGAGATACTTGTTGATCGGTCCTTCGAGACAGTGCCGGAGTACTTCAGAGTCTGATATCGCGCGTTCGGCTCTTTCGATAGAACCAGCAGCTTGAAGAAGATAGGCTTCTTTATTCAACACCCTCGCGGCATACGACAAGCCCAGTGCCGAGAGCACGTCTATTCCTTCTCGTCAGCTTTGCCTTTCCGCAGGTGTAATGAAAATAGAGGTACTCACCGACATTGGCCCATTTCTCATCCGGAACGAGGACGACCAGCCCTATAATCGCCCTTGCACATTGTACAGCCGAACGGTGCGCTTCGGTTTGATGGTTCGCCATCTCCCACCACATCAACATTTCAGCTGTATACAAGTTTGTGTGCAAGAGTATCCAGAACGGGTCGGAGGGGCCGTCGTATATGTCGGGGTAAGCGGTGGGGGAAGGTGGGGTCGTAGAAGGGCCGGAGAGAGGGGCGGAAGAAGCAGGGGAAGGAGGGAAAGTGAATGGGGCGGGGATATGTTGTCTGAAGAGCGCAATGGCGGTTTGGAGATCTTTAATCTCGGGCATCGGAGCCATGTAGGTCGCAACCACCGTCCCATCGGGCAACGCTACAGTTCGCTGCGAATGCGGCAAGTCGGACAAGCTGTAAGGCGTTAGACGAATATATCCAGTGGGGGTTGAGGTGTTGAGGCTTACGAGCTGGCGCGAGCCAACAGCGCCGTGCTTTTTGTCGCTAGTGTACAAGTTGTGTCCGCCTGGGTGCTGGTGTGCATAGCCGAAGATGGGTCGAATAGGTCCATCAGGGAATATCTCTCATTTGCTACCCCCGCCTGTCCCAACTTCAGCAAAAGGTCATAGGGAAAAAGGAGGACGTACTTCAACATGACCCCAGCCCCAAGGCCACTCGGTCGTGCATTCTTCATCTGGCAACGGATCCGGCCAACCCCACCCAATCGACATTGTCCAACACTGTCTCTTGACCGCCCAAAACGTCATCACCCTTTCCGCAACTTCAATCTCATCCCTCGCGGGTGGGACCAACACCACCTTCATCCTCAACTGCGGCTGTCCCACTTGAGGTCGGCCGTATGTATGAGCATGGCTGTACTCGTGTTCCCTTGCATAAGGGTCGGGAATACTTGCGATTTTGGTGGCGGGGGGGATGGAAGGAGGCGGGGGGATGTACCCGCCCGATATACGGTGGAGCCCACATGCGATGGCGAGGTTGGCTACCGGTATCGACCATCCTTCCACAAACCTTCCTTGGGTATACAACGACCTCGCGATACCTACAGCCGCCCTCGAAAGGTCAAAGACCCTACCAAACTGGCGTATACCCACATCCAGCTCGTGCCTCGCGCGTTCGAGCAAAAGCGGGGCTGTACCGCCTAAATGCGCGAGGAGCGAGTCACGGTTGATGCCTGTCGAAGGTATGGGCGGGGTGAGGGATGGATGGAAGAGGTAGGGTGGTTTGGGAAGGCTAGTAGGGGGAATACCGGCTTCCAAGTGGCGAACGGCCTCGGAAAAGAGCACATACAGAAGCGCCGGATGGGGTCGTGACGGGTCGTGGCTAGACAGAGACAGCTCTGCGAGAAGTCGTTCAGGGTGAACGGGAATGAGGAGGTGTGGGGTGTATGGTAGAATGTACTGAATCAAAGCGAGCTCGATGGATGATCCCGGTATAATGTCGAGCTCCATATGCGGGCTGGCTGACGAGAGGGGCGGGGGCATGATGAGTGGCTGAGAGCCGACGTAGGGGGTGCTGATGCGGCTGGGACCGCTGTATAACGGCTCGCCTGCCATAAAGTCGGAAGAGGGGCCCGAGTCGGTGGAAAAGCTGGACGTAGATATGCTAGGTCGCGCGGACGAGCCCTTGCGAATACCAAGCATGCTCTCGAGTTCGACTGCAAACGTCAGCCATGTCGCAGCGGAAGCAAAGTGGACTCACGGATACGCTCTTCCAACAACACATTTCTGGGTTTCTTTCTCGGAATGTCTTCGTCTTTGCACTCTATGTTCGCCTTGATACAAGTGGCACACGGCCTGATGCCTTCCTGGCATTTGCTATAAAAGTGTCAGCTGGCCTCTTTGATATAGAGTATAACGAACAGTTTCCGTGTCCTGCTCAATGTTAGCGTCATCCACAACAGTCAAGTACGCACCTGCAAGCAACACATGCATGCCCTCGTGGTAACGTTATCCGTGGCTTCTTCCTCGGACTGTCGACGCGCTCGTAATCGTCGGTGTCTCTACGCTTGTCGCCCCAGCCGTCGTCGCCCGAGCCGTAGCTGTCTGGGGTAACGAATGCGCGGTGGTCGTAGCGGACGGGGGTGTAGGGAAGGGCATAGGCCATGTCGAGGCTGGGCCGTGGGCTGACGTGGTACGGGAGCTGGTGGAGGGGGTAGTAGGCGTCGGGGGGCATGAGGGGCAGCTGGCGCCAGTGGCTCGGGGGATTATGTATGTACGCTGTGGGGGTCAGCTGTGTTTGTTTGTGGGCGACATACGTTCTGGGGAGGCTACGAGGTGCCCGTGCGGGGGAGGGCCAACGTGCACATGGCTGGGCCCCGGCTCTGGCTGTGGTGCGGCGTACACGGTGTAGGCTGGGCGGTAGAGGGCGCAGGTGGGGGAAGGGTGGGGGAAAGGTAGCAGAGATCGGAGAGTCAGACAGGGGTGGGGCAGGGCAGAGGGAGGACGGAAGCAGAGAGACAAGCACACAGTTATATACACAGAGGGCCAAAAGAAGCATGACGCAACGTATGTCACTTGCCGATTGCGGTGCCTGGCTCCTCTTCGGCTCGATACCTATTAAGTCATTCTCAGGGTATTCGGCGAATGATGACGACTCTGCATATCTTTTTACTCCACATAAGTCATCATCGCTGCTATCTATGCATGCCTTCATGCAGAGTATGTCAAGTGAATGTACTTTTGCTCTCTATGCATTGTATCCACCGCATCACGCAGCCCCAGCAGACACCACGCAGGATTGGCGGAACCAAATAGCGCTCCTCTCCGCGCTAGAACACCTCGGAATATCGTACAAACCCCCGCCCGTATCAATTCGTCTTTGCGGAGACCCAGCAAACCCAAGATGAGGTCTCATTAGTAATGGATTGCGTCGGCGATGGCGTCAGTGGCTGCTACTGATCAGCACCGCCCTCTTGCTCTTTGCTCAGCTCGTTCGCCTCCACAGGACGGCATCATATCTCAGTCCCGTCGTCCTCCATCTGCTGCCTCCTCCCCGCCAAGTTTCAGGTTTCACTCAACAAACCTATGGATCCGCTCCAGCCGGATAGATCGACATAAGGTGCAGGCTCAGTTTGGGGCCGAGAGGCGCACGCCTCATCCCAAGATGGTGTATCAACTTGTAATCTCCCGTCGTCTTCCGTAGGCACCGCACAAAATGATGCCATCCGTTCATAGAGTCATGAAAATATACACAATTTGCCCCTCACTTCTTATTACCTTCTATTTCTACCCGCCTTAAACGACCAACAAAAGAATCAAATTAAAATGTATCAAAGCCCTACTCTTACGCCTGAGCCGCAGCCCACGGGGCAATCTATAGCTGATCAGCAACCACCCTTTCTAATCGTATGGTGCACTTACCCAAGAGAACCCAGCAAACTCCTTCTGATCCGCCTCGCTCAACTGCGTATGCACCGGCGTCAACGTCGGCTGCTCCCTCGTGAACTCGCTATCGAAATTGCTCGTATCCGTCGCATTCCCAATTGTTGGGAAGTATGGCGGCGGTGTGCGTTTGTGGTAGACGTCGTCAAAGTTGACGTCGCGGAAGAATGTGTGCTTTTTGATATCCTCGGCGTCGCCGGGTCCGGCGCCCAGACGGCGTTCGGGGTCTCGCGTCAGCAACTGTAGAGTATTAGCATAGTCCCAATGTATCTGAAGGGACGTACCCGTTGGAGGAGCGACACGGCGTCGCGCGGCATGGTGATGGGATACAATGGCTCGTCCTCCAAGATGGCATCGAAGATCTCATCTTCGTCTTCACCTCGGAACGGCGACTGCCCAAGCAACATTTCATAAGTCAGCACACCAAACGCCCACCAATCAACCGCACGGCCATATCGCTGCTCCAAAAGGATCTGCGACTTGTCAGCCCAGCACTTTTACAAATTCAAAGACTCACTTCGGGCGCCATAAACTCGGGGGTACCACAGAACGTGCTCGTCGTCTTGCCATACCACATCTCCTCCTTACACAATCCGTAGTCCGCAACCTTGACATGCCCATCCAGGGTCAACAAGATATTGTCTAGTTTCAAGTCTCGATAGATGATGCCCTTGGAATGGAAGTACTGCAATGCCAGCAAGACTTCACACGCATAGTACTTGGCTTGGCGCAGGGTGAATTGCTTCTTCTGGATGTGCAACATCAAGTCACCACCAGAAATGTACTCCATCACAAAGTAGACTCGGGTCTCGGTTTGGAAACACGAGTGGAGACCGAGCAGGAAGGGGTGTCGTTCCTGCGCAGCGGCGAGGAAGACTCGCTTTTCAGATTGCGTACTGCTCTCGTTAACCAAAACTCAATTCGAGAATAATGATACGTACCTCTCAACTTCATCATTTTCAATGATAAACTCCTTCTTCAACACCTTGATAGCATACAGACTGCTAGACGCCTTTTCCTCTGCCAACATGACTTTACCGAAATTTCCTTTACCCAGCACAGCCAGGAAATTGAAATCATCCAGCCCGACCTTGCGCTTTCTCGTCGCGAGGGGTTGAGTAGGCTGCGCGGGGGGTTGAAGAGGGAGACGGGTGGCCGCTTGTTGCTGAGGAGCAGGCTGGGCTTGCAGGAATTGGGTAGTAGGAGGTAAGGGACGGGGAGGAGCTTGCTGCTGCTGCTGTTGGGGCTGCTGAGCTACAGGAGGCATACGCGCATATCCATCTTGCGAAGGATGCTCCATACTGATACTGCTGTCCGAAACGGGCACAGGCGGCAACTGCGGCATCGGCCTGCCACCAGAAGGACCCGCCGGGCGAATATTGTCGTACCCGCTCGGCTGCTGGACTGGTGGCTGCGCAGGTTGGACCGTTTGCACCTTGTCTTGCGAGTGGTAGGAAGGGAGGGTAGAGACGGATGTGGCCGAGGGACTGTGGGTGTGCGGTCGGCGGGTTTGGGTGGTTTTGATGTCGCGGAGGTTTTTGAGTAGCAGGTTGGCCATTTCCATGGTCATGCCGCAGAAATCGGGGACAAGATGAGAACATGTTTGGTGGCATGTAAGAGCACATTCTGTCCCGAATCAGTACAGTTCACAAAATGAAGCAAAGACATACCGGAACACTTGACAGAGTTTTTGCGACCAAATGGCAGCATGTAACCACAATGGCAACACCAGTTGGCAGACATGTTGGTATACGCAGTAAACCTGTGAGGGATGCGGTGGTTGATCTTTTCCTCGTCGCCCTCTCCATCCGCAACCGACTTGCTGACACACTTGGTGACGACTTTCGGGTAACACTTTTTGTGACACGCGTATCGACAGTCTTCACATTGGTATCCTTCGCCCGTAAGCAAGAATTCTTGACACAGCGCACACATGATGGGCTGGTAGAATTGCCGTTGAACGAATTGATGGCCGTTCATCTCGTGCACCTCGCCCTTGCGCATACGCACGGCACCTTGACGTCCAAGGGCCTCGTATGGCCGACGCGCGCCAGCAACCGTATCCTTGACTATGCGATGTTAGCGCGACCTTGACATAGTACTCTCAACTCACCGAAATCAAGTCGCAACTGCAATCCACCAGCAGGTTCAACAGACCACCATCCACTGATCCCCTCGGACGCCTTTCCATCCGGCTTGCCACGCATCGTCCCCGCGCTGTGCAATGTGACAGAGTCTGGCGCTGTCCCGCTGCTTCGAGGCCCGCTCATTGTCGCCGCAGTCGCAGCCGTCACCCAGCCAGCATCCTGTCCCTCAATCCCAACCTTCTGGCGACGGATAGCTTCTACAAGGTCACTGACCCGAAGCCAGAGCATACCTATCGGCGCCGAATCACCAGGTGCGACACTGTCGTAGATGGTAATCTCCACCTCGTTGGCCTTTTCAACAGGAATATTAAACTCTTCGAGCCACTTGTCGTTTCGCGATGGCGCAGAGATGGCGCGTTCGTTGCCTTCAATCTTGACGACAACGGTGGTCTCGGTATACGCCTTGGAGGACCGACGAGGGAGGGGGCGATGGTTGAGATCCTGCGCGGCGCGGAGAGAGATGACGAGGTTACCAGAGATGGGTTTCCGGAGCGCCTCCTTGCGTTGCGAGTCGGGCACCAGGTCTGCAAACGCGTAAGCAGTCGCTCAACAATCCGAAACCTCACCTTCATCGTCCTCTACACCTCCACCAAACTTGGCGAGCGTCTCGTATCTCTTCTTTGCCTTTCTCAACAACTGGATCTTGCCTTCACTCTCCACCTTCTTCGCATCCGTCTCGCTTTTGAGTCTCTTATCGCCTTCCATCTTGTACGCCTGAGCCATCTTTTCGATACCCGTCTTGTACTGCTCTTCAACTTGTAGCTTGAATTGTAATTGGTTGAGCATGCGCGTGATTTTGGCGCCGGATAGAGGGGCGTCGTATCGGAGAAGATCTGTAGCACGATGAGAGCGCGTGGTGTGGACACGGGGTCGTCACGTACCAAGCTGCGTGTAGTTCTTTTGTTCTGGTTTCCGGGCCGCGTCGGCTTCAGCACCAGGAGGCGGGGGAGGCAGCGGTCTTTCACTATTGCCAAAGCCCTTTGCACTGGGGCTAGGGCTAGCAGGTAGATGACTCTCGCTCCTCCCACCAGGCGCCAAATGCCCCGGCCTGCTGCCTTCTCCCCTATTCGGCGTGTTGGGCCCAGATACCGACAGCTTCTCGAGCTCGGCCTCGAGGTACTGTATAGAAGCCTGCGCAGAGCGGACTTCGTTCTGTGCTTGCCGGATGACATTCTCATTCTTGGAAGATGCTTCAAGGGCGCGGATGACGGCCTTGGCACCTTCGAGATTACGTTTCTCGGACGCGATGGTCGCGAGAAGGTTCCTCGCCCTGGGGTCGCTGGAGGCCTGGCGGGGGTCAGTCTGGTGTAGCGGTGCATGGGAGGGCTCACGCACCATGTTGGATGAGCCAGGGATGTTTGAGGATGAGAGAGCCGTACAGACAGTCGCGTCGTAACACGCATCACCGAGCCCATTGCGGTGCGCTCGATTCGGAGATAGGGTAACGCCGTCCGTGTGGCAGTTCTGGCACAAACAAGCATCGCCGGGGTGGGTCTCATGGTGAGTCGTGAGCTATGGGTGGGGGTGGCTGGGAGGGTGAAGAGGATTCTTGTAAATTCGCAAAAGCAGCTGGGTGTTTTGTGAATCGCTACCATGTACCGGCTGCTAAATGCCCATGATGCCATCCGAGGTACTCTGTGTACATGCAGTCGCCTCCATTTGCCGCCATGGGGACTGTCTGTGTGGTACTGGAACTATGTGGAATGGCGAGATCTAACCAAAACCCTGACGTCTCGTATGTCTTTGCACTGGATATGGAACGGGTGATGCAGAAGGGATAGCGACACTCAGAACGAACGCCCTCAAAAAGGTTCCGTCGGAATGCTTATCTTATCTCGTGTACCTGGTGATTAGCATCATTTGCGTCCTCACGCTCGCGCATCATGCATCACTGATGGCGAGAGGGGGAATATTCTGCCAATGACTGCTACGCGAATACCGTGTCCCATGCAAGAGAAACCATGGAGAGGCGCACACAGAGGCACCCGCACGAGGCATGAATTGTCTCAAACGTCATTGGCTCCCGGCCACGTCCGCATGCCGCCATATCAGCTCCACGCCCGCTGCCCGCTATAAGAGTCGTATGCACCCACATTTCCATTCTCAGTTCCTTACATGTTACTCAGAAATATCCTCCGCCCCCCTGCTTGGCCACCTTTGCGTAGAACATTACTTTCCACCGGAATCAATACCCGCACCATCACAATGTCCAGCAACGACGACGTGTTGACCAAGTCGGTCTTGCCCGAGAATGAGTTGAAGAACGGCGACATGTGCGTGGAATCGGGCCCACAGTTCTCTACTGATAAGACGCAGGAAGACGGTCGAGTTTGGAGACGGCAAAGTACTCGTGTCAAAGATTAAGGGCCAGCTGGTGAGTGACAAAACCACGATGGATCATCGCTCAACCCCGGGCCAGTATGCCACATCCGCCTTCTGTACCCATGTGAGTGATGCGCACCGTCAGATGACCGATTGCTGATGACTGTAGTATGGCGCCCCCCTTGAAAGTATGCGACGACGATTCCCCGTTGTCAAGCTGACAACTTGTAGAGGGTGTACTCTCGCACGACGGCCGCGTCGTTTGCCCATGGCACGGCGGTACGTCTACCCCGTCCTACCTACTCATCTAACACCCTATAGCGTGCTTCAACGTATGCACCGGCGACGTCGAAGATGCCCCCGGCCTCGACTCTCTCTGGTCGTTCACGGCAACTACCAAAGACGGCCAGATCGTCGTCAGTGCGTCAAAGAAGGAGGTTGCCTCCAAGGTCGGCAGGGTCATCACCAAGAAGGGGACCAAGCAGGTCAGTCCAAAGGGCAGCAAGTCGGAAGAGACTGTGGTCATTGTTGGAGGTGGATCTGGTGCTATTCATGCTATTGAGAGTCTCAGGATTGTGAGTGAGAGTGCTGTCTGGATACAGCTGACAGTGGATCAGAACGGATTCGTCGGCAAGATTGTCGTCATTTCGGAAGAGAACCATGCTCCTATCGACAGGACAAAGATGTCCAAGGGTCTTGTTGACGACGCCGACAAGCTTCAATGGCGCAAGCCAGACGAGCTGAAGGATGCATTTGGCGTCGATTTCTACCCCGGCACGGCAAGTACCTCACTGCATACTTGACCTCGCTAACCTGTCTGTAGTCTGTGACCAAAGTCAACCTGGACACCCAGACCGTGTCCACCTCTTCCGGATCGAACGTAAAATACGACCACCTCATCCTCTCCCCCGGAGGCACACCCCGCAAGATCCCCATCCCCGGCGCCGACCTCTCTGGCGTGCTCACCCTCCGCCATGTACCCGACACCAAAGCCATCACTTCTTCCCTCACTGAGGATTCTGAGGTCGTCTTGATCGGGACGAGCTTTATCTCTATGGAAGCCGCCGTGGCGATTGTGGGCAAGAAGCCAAAGAGCGTTACGCTGGTGGGCATGGACGAGGTGCCTTTTGAAAAGCTGATGGGAAAAGAATTTGGCCAGGCAATTATGGAGGGCATGAAGAGTCAGGGAATCAAATTCCACATGAAGGCCAAGATTGAAAAGATCACCCCTTCTGAATCTGATCCCTCGCATGTCGGCGCAGTGCACGTGGAGGGGTTGGACCCGATCCCTGCCAACCTCGTCATCATGGGCACCGGAGTCGCACCTGCCACCTCCTTCCTCAAGGACACGCTCAAGCTGGAAGAAGACGGGGGGGTCAAGGTTGACGAGTATTTGAGAGTGCCGGGGCATGAGAATGTGTATGCTATTGGCGATATTGCGCATTATGTGCAGTATCCTGCCAAGTTTCCGAGGAGGGTTGAGCACTGGAATGTTGCTGGTAACCACGCAAGTCGACGTTTGTTTTCGAGGATGGCGCTCATATCGTGTAGGGCCGCCAAGTCGCACATACCATCACCCACCCCGAAAGCCCGGTGGCATACACCAAAGTCCCCATCTTCTGGTCTTCCATCGGCAAGGGGCTTCGTTACCTGGGCACCGGTGCGGGTTTCGACGATCAGTATGTTGACGGCAGCTTCAAGGATCTAAAGGTGCGGTCAGACTCGTCTTTGGGGATAAGCTAATGTCGGTTGTAGTTTGCAGTGTATCAAGCCAAGGAGGGCAAGGTCACTGCTATCGCTACGATGCAGCGCGATCCGATCGTGGCCAAAGCTTCCGAGCTCATGCGCCTCGACATTATGCCTTCTATTGATGATATTAGGAACGGCAAGAATATCCTGGAGATTGATTTGGCCGAAAAGTCGGTTTGATGTAACATGAAATCAAGGATGTAAAGTTATACATATCATACTCTAACAAAGTGTAAGCGCATGGCCAAAGGTCGCTTCCTGCAACGTACCGGTACACGTATCGTACAACAATGCACATGCTTCTATTCCTCGGACTTTGCGGGCGGTTTGCCGCATGGCTGCAGCATTTTCTACACAATGATCAGCATATACAGGACACAGTATCCCCAAGTGACTCACTTCTGTCAACTCAAACCTTTCCCTAGCCTGAGACTCGCCATCCGCTACAGACAAGTATCCCAAGAGCGCGGGATGGCCGACGATGGAGGCGAGGGTGTCACGGTGTTGGTGAGTGAGCCATTCACTGCAAGAGTCAATACGATCCTCGAGAAGAATGATTGTTCGCTCACTACTTGGTGGTATCGGCATGTCCAGTACCGGTGTACCTGGCGTGGACTACAGCAGGTCAGCAAGAGCTCTCCAGAGTATCGAAACACGCACGCTGTTCGAGCTGGGTGTTGGCGGTGTATCGAAGCTCAGAGGACTTCAGGCTGTAAGCGGCTACCCCCTACAATGCTCGCTATGCACTCACCATTCTGTATGCTTCAGTCAGGGATGGCCATAGAGACCCCTTCGATGATTGAAGATGCGCAAGATACGGTGCCACGGGGCGATAACGCCGGAAATGCCGTTAGGTGTTCTTACTGCTGCTAATGGTATACCTCAGCTGGCATAGTGCATAGGAGAGCGCCAAGTACATCCATCCCATACACCCCCTAGTCATCGCCACCATGTTCTACGCCACAGCAGGACAGCAAGCTACCCAGCAACCGCCCCCATCAAGAGCCGCCATCCCAGGCTACCCAAGAGCAGGACCCCCAGGCTTTGGTGTCAGGAACTCTGGTACGTTTCGAGTGGCATGGTGCGGAAGAGACGAGAGGGATGCATCCTTGAGCTGGGCGAGCAAGGCTGGAGGGACACGGCTGATAACGCGCAACTTGCAGATACGAGCGACTTTCCAGCTCTCGGATCGCACCCTCAACATACAACCAACTATGCTACCCAAGGGTCGAATGCTGCTTCATCCCAACAGAACTCGCATCTGCAACAGCAACAACTGTATCTCCAGCAGCCCCAACAACAGCAGCCGGGCGTGACACCCCCACCTCCACCGGGGATATCAGGACCTGCTGTCGGAGCCGGCGCCCAGACAAACGGAGGGATTGCAGATGACTTTCCGGCGCTGGGGAACGGGGATGGGAAAGATGGTCGGGTCAGTGTTGGATAACAGGGCTAGATGGATTTGCTGATACCATGTACGTCAACAGCTCACCAACTTTCTTCGAAATCCATCCCACCAAATCCCTTCTTCGCCCGCCCCATTACCGAACGGCACGAATAATGCGAGCGTATCACACTCTGTGGCCGTGACTCCGTCAACCAACCCCCCTCATCCTCACTCGGGCGCGGGCGGTCCCCCATCAACAACAGAGTCTTGGCAAAGACAGTCGCCGAGACCTTCAGAACCTGTTGTGCGACCAGTGCAGCAGCTGCTGAGCTCTCCTGTTGACAGATGGGGGCTGAAAGCGCTGTTGTATGAGATCCAGATACATATGAACAAGACGGATAGAGGGATGATGGTGTTTGGCGAGGATCTGGAAGAATTGGGTGTTGACGTCAACACAGACGAGTGAGTAATGATATATAGTCTGGGAGACGACTGACAATGCTGCAGAGCGCTCTATCCCTCATTCGTGACTCCATGGGCCGACCCTAATTCTTTACCGCCCCCTCAAATCGAAGAAGCGTACCACATTCCCCAATGCTATTACGTCCACGCCCCTCCAGTGGAAAGCAAGTTGCAGAACTTTACCGAAGATACCCTGTTTTTGGCATTCTACATGTCGCCTCAGGATGTATTGCAGCTTCGTGTAGCTGAGGAATTGTACGTGAATTCGCTCGCTGTATGAGGTAACTGACATTCTGCAGGTATGCTCGAGGATGGCGCTACCACACTGAACTCGCTACATGGCTTACATCGCCTTCCCTCCCCTCCATCGATCTCGCCAAGACCGACCGTTCCGGCGGACAACCCAACTGGATCCGTGGCCCCTTCCAATACCTCGACACCCGCTCATGGGTCAAGCAGAGAACAGCAGAGGACTTTATGATTGATGCCAACGTGCTCGAACTCACGAGGCGGGCAGATGATATCATCCGGGAAGAAGCTGTCAGGAAGGAGCAGAAGGGCCAAAGTCCCAATCCCAATGGTGGGGCTGTTGGCGTTCCTTCAGCTCAAGGACAACAAATGCCCCACCAGCGGTGATTCTCTGGAAAGACAATGGTTAGACAGAGGTACGATATCGAGTCGGGAGAAGTCGGTTGTTTCATGCGATCCATATGATCATTTTTCGACCGGGAACACAAGGGCTGCATCTGTCAACTCTAAAGACTGAATACAAGTATTATTGCCAAAGCTGATATCTACAGGAAAGAATGGGTCGCATCGTTGGTGATCCTTTTGAGAGTGCAGAGGTAGCACTCGGTGCCATGTCTGCATGAGGTGGCGCGGAATTGAGGTTGAGGGATTGAAGCAGGGCGGATCCAGGGGCTTAATTCGGGGGCCGGGGCGTACCGTTGGCGACGGCATAAGGGGAATCGTTGACTCTGCAAATGCTCAGCAGACTCACCCAACTTGCAGACACAACTCACGATTGCCTACGCAAGATCATCTCTTGGTCCATCGAGTTCCTCCTGGCTTCGGCCAACTTGGCGTCAATCTGTTCTTCCTCTTCACCAGCAGGAAGCGCCTCTGGATCCGTCTCGGGCGAATAAGTGGCCTTGACCATACTACCCCTGTGCTGCAATCCATTGCTGCTTTGAGGATATCCAGGAACTTCAGAGCTGGAAGACCATCGCTTACTGCCCCTCTTTTCCACTGCACCTTCAGTCATGCCCAAGCTTGCGAGCGCATTGGCATCTTCCGGACGGACGGCGCCGGATGCAAAGAGGGCCATTGAGCGACGACGGACCATGACGGCTTCGTCCCGCCAGTGAGATTGAGCTTGTTTCAGACGGAGATGGAGACCCCAGACGGCTGTGCCCAGGGAGAGGAGGGACATGACTGCTGCCACAGCGGTGCTACAAAGTTGCCGTCAGCCGATAGGCAGCGAGGCGCCCGAGACACTTACGTCTCCATAGCATGCCCGCTCTTGGGCTTACCCCCGCCTCTCTCAATACTCAGATACGCCGCCCTCCCCAAGCCGAATGCCAACCAACAAAGCACATTACCAAACAAGCTCACACAGAGGACACAAGCTTCCGCCACGGCAAACCTCAGGTGACGAGTGATACTATCAAGATCACGGATACGGTAGCCGATCGGGGTGGCGATGGTGAGACAGATCCAAGTGACAAAGACGACAATCATCCAGTAACAAGCCAGGGGGAGCATGATGCGGACGGTGAGCGCTTCTCCAGTGTCGATCATTGTTGAGAGGTAGGCGTTTTCGCTTAGGGGTGCGTAGGTGCAGTTTGAAGTATCCGTCACTGGTGTCTGTCAGCCCGGCACAGCTCGACGGCTTTGACGACTTACTACACCAACCCAGAACGCCAGCGCTCATGGGGCCGTCTCCCTCACCCTGCACGCTGAACCAGTACATGCCCTTGATGGGACCGGGTACGCTCAACAGAACGAGTACGAGAAGGAGGAGGGTGAGAGATGTCAGGGCGAGGGAGATGAAGGGTTGCGAGAGCAGGGGGTTGTATACTGTCTTGATGAAAACGCCCATATCGGATGGCTTTTACTTTCCGGAAGTTGAAGGTCTAGTGGCAGAGATATTCGAGGTCAACTCGAATCAATATAGACGAAAGGGGATGAATAAAAGATGAGAAATTGAGAATAGAGTTGGGCAATGTCAACATATGGAGAGGAATTATATGTTCTCGAGCCTCTTTTCACCTGGAATCCATGATGATACATGGGAACATCTCTTCCTATGTCTCCCAGCCCCTTACCTCTAAGCCTGGCCCCCTCTTCTCCAATCACAAAGCAGCTCACCGAGAGCGAAGAGTCAGGAAGTGGCGCTGCGACTATGAAACGACAACCTTTGATCCTCTACTTCAGGGCAGTGCCGTCCTTTCATGGCGAGAAATCGCCACTTGACAGAGGATCAGTGACTTGACAAGGTGATAATATCTCCGTTGTCCTGGCCGACTAGCGAACGCGAGAGGTTCGTACCCACTAGAACGAGGTCACTGAAGCTCTCCAGGCCGGGAACCTTGCACTCCTGCGCTCCTTTTTGGGCAATGCGGCATGCACCAAGTCGAGCGATATGGTACATACAGACAAGATTTGGTGTTTGTCGGTGACGCCCGCTGGAGGCCGAAGCTTGTTGCCTCGCCTGTCGAGAACGAAGGTCGAGCGTCAACTAGCAATCTTGCATCTCTTTCTTTCTTCAGCTTCATCCCCCATCCCCTCAGCAGGGGTCCCCCCCCCCCCCCCCTCGCCCACCACATCCACCTAGGGAGCGCTCACAAGCCTGCGGGAGATATACCCACGCGATCACGCCCTCCGTCATGTTGGCTACCGAGTCCGTGCGTCCAGCGTACCGGCCCGCTGGTGGCTCGTCTTCGTCCTCTAGAGGGGCATCAGGGGCACATGGGAGCAACTGGGACGAACAGATAGTACCTACACTTAGAAATCGTGAGTTCACTGGTATCGAGATAGCGAGTGATGGCCGGCGGTCGTCCTCTTCGCGACAGTGGTCGACAAGATTGAAATGCAAGACGCAGAGCTGACCCCATTGATAGGGCTCGAATCAGAGTCGGCATACCTAACCAAGAGGCTGTCTTCCACGCACTTTGACGACGCAGCTGCTGCTGGTATCGGGATGGGTAACGTAAATTACGAGTCCAGCTCGAATCATCACTACCAGCCACAGCCTCACCCCCAGTCGCGACCGAAACAATACCCATCGGCCTCTGGTGCCATTCCACGCAGTAGCAGGCACCCACCAGCATCTGCAGAGACCTACGCGCCTGCACCTCTTGGCTCTCAAGCCCATCAGCGCGGTTCGCCGCAAGGTTCGCCCCATGTACCATCCCAACGAGCTGGATCGCCCGCCACGACTTCTGCATCTCGTATACCTACTCGACCTCGCTCAAAGTCACAACTCTGCTCTAGACCATCTCTGAATCGAGGAGGCTCATCGCCAGTGCCACGAATGCCTTCGCCATCTGGTATACCTGTCGCTGCCAACAGCCGAAGCCGGTCGCCACAGCCGCGAGATCCGCGCTATGAGGGTGGTCTTTCACGAGGCTACTCTTCGAGACTGCCCGATATCGGCAGAGAGAGAAAGCCGTCTGGCCGGGGTTCTCCAAACTTTGATGGGGGTCGAGTGACAGAGGGGTTCATCAAGAATGAACTGCCACCTTTCAAGATGCAGGCTGAAGACGCTCTGCGTATCGCACAGAGGGGGCATGAGATACCAGAGATGGAGCAGTGGAAGGAGAGCTGGCATAGTAGAGAAGCAGAGGATGTGGAAGAGCCGCGTCATGGGTTCTCGGAAGATGGACATGGTGGATATGCCGAGCCGAGGAAACGCGCAGTTACCATGAAAGGTCAAGGGGGTTATGGCGATTCGAATGGGATTGGTATAGGGCAGACATCCAATAGAGGACAGACTGGTACCCCAAAGTACCGTGTTGGAAGCTCGCGACCTGCCAACATCTCTACCCCCAACAACCAATTTGCCGGTCCTCGTTCTGCTTCCATGAACATTCACTCTGGATCTTCTCCCCATACACCAAACTCGGCACAGACTCTCCCATCGTCCAAGTCTAGACTCGGCCTTGCTGCTCATATGATACCACCCGAGAGCAGCTATACACCGCCCAAGAATGCCAACTGGGATGAAGTAGTCTTGCCGACTGTCGCAAAGAAGATGGGGATGGGCGATGAGAAGGGAAGTCCGAACCCGGGCGAATTTGGTGAAGAAGATTACGCTGTGGAGTGGGATAGGGATGGAATGCCGATCAGATGGGCCAAGAGAAAGATAGTCAGGAAACAGGCTTTGACTGAACAGGCCGAGAATGTGAGCTGAACACAACATTCTGTGGCTTCAACTGACCCTCTGCAGATGAGTACCCCCAATAAGCCAATATTTGTGCCCACTTTCGAAGCCTCGCCAGACAATCCATTCAGGCCCCCTTCGACCAACTTTGCCCAGCACTCTGACAGTATCGAGCTCGGCGCGCTCCGTGGCTCTCAGCGGCATGTCGAACAGCCATCCCCTTCCAAGGCCGAGTTCCAGTCCCAGCCAGGTCCCACTCGTAAACAATCGCTGCTTCGAAAAGTCAGTAGCCAGCACATGTCGCATTCAGCATCTCAGAGATCGCTACGCACGCAAAACCAAGCTGGTCGAAACGATACGTTTGGCGGTCCTAGTCAATGGGGTGCACCTCAGGCTCCGCCGCCCACGCCTGGTACAACGAATCGCATAACCGATGCTATATACGAAAAGCATCTGGGTAGTATGGAGAGATTCAACAATGCGCAAGTTGAGAGGAATAACAAGGTTGGTGGTGATGGTTCAGGAGCGCCACCAGTATCCAGCAAGGACGATGGGAAGCATGGGAAGGGCTGTGGATGTGTTGTAATGTAGAACAATCTGTACATACTCTTATAATCTGCTACTGTAGGGGTTTGCGACTCGGGTCTTTTGCGAAGCTCTTCATCTTTATGCATCATACACATGGACATGATATCTTGAGCTATTCACTGTGGGCACGGGCGGCGGGCCCCCTAAGATTTGGCCCTATGGCATCCAAACTTCCAAAGCGATCACTAAAATCCCGACCAGGCTGCAGCGACGCCTAAATTTCGAGGTTAGGCGCGCTTTTCCCACCCTCCAAATCTCAGGGTTAGACGCGCCAAATCGATCCCTTCCCTAGATTTCGGCTGCAGAGACTCTTTATTAGCGGTCACTTCCATGCATTCTTAGAGATCGCTTTCTGCTTTGTCTTTATGGACGTTTGACACCAAAGAACACCCCATGTCCTCCCCTTTCTCTGGCTTCCTCCCGCGGGAGAAAGTCGCTAAACTATAATAATGTCGACCAGCAGCAGCGCCAGGAGCTGTGGACGACCTCTCCTTCCTCCATCCTCCGCCGTCATCCTCCTTCAATTAATACCTTCCCAAAGAGCTGGCTCTCGATCCAGATTCTGTTATTTCATCAGCCCGACCAGAACGCTTCATCATGGTCAGTTCCGTTTCTTGCTACCCATGTAAAAGAGCATACCGGAAGGGAAGACGGGGTTACTATGGTCTATCATCAGCCACAAGTACTTTTGGAACTCGCTTCTGCCTAGCCCGAATTTGATGGACACTCACTCACGGGGTTCGTTACAGGTACTCACTCGGAACGGCTCCCTCGCGTCGATTAGACAGGACGGCCCTTCACCTCTCCTTCTTCCGCCTGCTTTGCCCAATCAAAGCCCGGACGGCTTCAGAGAGTCTCTTGCCGGCATCTACGCTGCCGTCCAGGCCCTCGTTCCACCACCTACGGCCTCTGCCGATCCGAATGCAACAGCATCATCACATCTCCCACTGCCTCCTCCCCCCACTCCCTGCACGTTCAAATCGTTGGTTCCTTGGCTCGCAAGGGTGCACAATATGATCGTGACTCACACATCTACCAATCCTGCCCCGCTCTCTCCTCACACAGTCGACGTTCTCATCACCATCTCGTCGTGTCTGAGGCATGTCGGGGAGGAAGCTCGAGCGACGGAGAGCAGTCTGAAGGCGTTGGTGAGCGACCTTGAAGACCGAGTAGGGGAGCTCGAGGATGAGAGTCGGATGCGGCAGGGGCGAGAGGCTGCCTGGGAGGAGCGGCTGAGGCGAGAGGCTGCCTGGGAGGAGCGGCTGAGGCGGCTCGAGGAGGCCGATACGAGTGGCGGGGATGGCAAAAAGAGGAAGAAGAAGAAGGAAGACCTGGACGTGAGCAAGGATGAGAGAGTACATTGCATCAGCGGCCATGAAATCCGACACCCGGCTGTAGCCTGTCAAGCGGCGTGAGTCGTGCTCAGATTATACAATACGGCACTATATACACGATGTATACATCTCAGAACCATCTTCATTTACATAAAGATCATGTCAAATCCCAAAAGGTGCACCCCTACGCTTTCCTAGACGCCGCATCCTTCTCCTGCGCTTCCAGCATCCGCTCTCGCCTACTTTTCCCAAAGATCTCTTCAATCTTGTCATCCGGCACCACTTTCTTGAATGACGCGCAATCACAAAGCACCTCGAGCCCGCCCTCATCCTTGAGCTTTCGGATCGCCGCATTGCAGACATTACGGACGGCGAGATGGGTCGTGAAAGCGCTTTCGCGTGCGATCTCCTTGTCGTGCACTTTGACTGCTCTCTGTGTTAGTATCGTGTGTTGCTGACAAGAGGATTTACGCACAGGTCCCAATGTTCAATCTCGGCCCCTCTACATCCAGACTATACAGCATACACCCCTTGGCCTGCATCCACCTTGTGATCTGCCCCTTGGGGTGCATATCATTGTTCGCCGGGCCTTTACAGTACTTTTCGATAAAAGGCAAAATCTTTTCAAAAAAGATCTTTCTGGTCGGTTCAAGATCAAAGTCAGAGTCGTCCAAGATGGCGCCCAAGAGGATTTCCATGATACTCCCCGTAACCTGCCCCTGATCAGTCTTTATATTAACAAAAGCACAGACACGTACATGATTGACAGTCACTTCCTCCCAGTAATGCACCTCCCCTTGCTCCTCTTCGCTCAGCCCCGCATCGGCCTTCTTCCTCGCCTCATTCATAAAGTATGTCGCACGTCCGAGTTCGCGTCGGGTCTTGTCATCGCCGTCAATGACGAGGTCTTGTAAACCCAGCTCGACGGCAAGGGCGCAACGGAGACCTTCAGTGGTTCGGAATGTCTAGAAGGCTGTTAGATCAGGTGGGGGGTGTGTGAAGGGACTTGCCTTCATGTTGGAAAGAGAACCAGGGCCTTCAGTCGGGTGTGTTTCATAGAGATAGTCGATGATATCTAGCCTGACGTCAGCATTGTTTCCGACGAACCATGACCACACTCACAGACATCCAACACGGCGTTACCCAGCATCTTGTACCTCTCTCGTTTCATCCTTGTCTCTCGCTTTGAGCTCAAGCTCTGTAGAGAAGAGTCAGCCGAGTCTCTACGTATTCAAAGTCACTCACAAACACATCCTCAAACGTCTTTCTCCTCTTGAATGTATACCCAAACACCTCATACTGCATTTTCGTTTTCGCGAAAAAGTTCATATACGCCGGTAGATCCGGATCCTTGGCCTCTTCCTCTTCATGCTCCCGCTGGAGGACATGCTTGACATCCCCCCAGCTTTTGAACAGAGTAAGAGGGACGGTGAGGTTGTGCAGGGTGGTGATGACGTTGTCCATGTCTTTGTTGGGGAGATAGGAGGCGCCGATCATGGCCTCTACCACGTCCGCTAGCAGCTTGTACATTATCAGCCCGGCTCTTCAGAATCGAGACGGGACTCACCTTGTCACCCAGATTCCTAAACTCTGATTCATCTGCGCTCGTCTTGAGATGCTTCTTCATAGCCGTCCCCCCCTTCCACGTATCAAAGTCCCAGTCCCTCGGCGCCCACTCCTTCACCTTCACCCTCCTGTCCCTCACATAATTCACCAAGCCGAGCTTGATACAGTTATGCGCCAGGGTCTTGTTGGAGACGACCTTGTGGCGGTCTTGCCATGTCTTGAGAGGGTCGTCTTGAGAGTTTGCACCACCGCCGGCGAGGTAAAAGTGGAGCGTAGCAAAGAATTTCAACAGCGTATCCCCCAAAATCTCGAGCCGCTCGTACGTCCAACTATTCACATTCATCCCCGTAGGCGCCGTTAACGCCTGCAAGGCATACTCTGGCCTCACCACCGATCCAAAAAGCTTTTCCGACGCTTCCCACGCTACCAACATTGATTCCAGCTGATGGATAAAGAACGGCATCGTGCTCGTCGTCCTGTGTACGCTCGAGGGGATGCAGTGCCAGTGTTCAAACTCGGGTATCAGGTAGAGTTTGGGGCGCTTTTCGTCGGGGATGGAGAGGTAGGTGATGTATGAGCCTGTCTTGGGGAGGGCGGCGGGCTCGACTTCGAGTATGGGCTGGGAGGGGTCGGAGAGTTCGGGTAGGGTGGTGGGCTCTTTCTCGAGAGTCTGTAGGATTGTCTCTTCGGGGTGGTCGGGGTGTGGAGAGAAAGGGTTGAGGTCGGTACGGATACGGACAATGTAGTTTCTGCGAACCATCTCGGACGGCACGGTGCTCATGCGGTCTTTGCATTGACGCTGGAGAATATCCATGTCGTTGTGTGTGAATGGCATCGTCAAAGGCCCATCAGTCACGGCGTCAACCTCTTTCCAGGCGATATCTTTAAGCCGTAGCTTGATGCCCTTGTTTTGAGAGACGATCTCTTTGGTAGGGGCCTTGAAGCTCCTTCGGAGAGGGACGAGCAGCCATTTGACGTGAGCCAGGTCTGCCATGAGCGGCTTCTGTATCTGGGCCCGCATGAGCTTTTCGGTGAATACCTGAGCTTGTTCGAGTGTGCCAGATTGGAATGGCTCCATCTTACCGCCGTTGATCAACCGCATACTGGCCTGCAGCGTCGGCTGCTCGCCCACGCCCATACGCACGACCGTCTCGCCAACAGAGGACCAGAATGGCAGAGGTCTGCTCGTGATCAGACACATCATCCTACACTCTGGATGATTGTCATAATTCCCTTCGCCATCTGGCGACAGCTGGAACACGGACGCCCAGAGGTGGTCGGGCTGGAAAGGCGGGCAAGTACCCCAAAACTCTGGTGTCGTCTTGTACTCGTAATCACCTTGACCCGTGCCCTGCGGGAGCTGGTCCTGTATGGCGAGCTTCCTGCTCTCCCAGCGATAGTTGCACCTCGACTTGGTCTCTAGCCGTTCTTCAAACGTCTTGCCCCGGGGGTGGGATGGCGTGGGCTGGAAAGAAGTATCAACTTCGCCCTTGTCCATGAGCACTTTACATGCTTCGAACGAGGCGTGCTGCTTGGCAAGACTCTTGTTGGGCCATAATCCCGAGCGCACGGAGCCGGCGTAGGGGAGGTCGACGGTACATACCCGCATAGAGCCGAGGGGTGGGCCGGTGGGTGCGGCGGCAGGTTCATCAGCCTCACCCAGCCTCGCTTTCTTGGCCGCCTTTTTGGATATAGGAGCTTCAGTAACGCCAGGAGAGAGGACATCCTCCATGTTGTATGTGGGGGTATGCCCTGAGGCTTGGAACCATCGCGAGAGGTGATGGCCGGCGTTCTGGAATGTCAGGACGACGCCCGCGGGGGAGGTGTATGTGAGAGGCGCTGGTGATGGGGCGGAAACGGGGGTCGAAGGGGCGACGACAATGGTTGTTGGCAGATCAGGCGGCCGTTCTGCTGCTTGTCGCTCTTCGGGTGGCATTTGGTCGAGGGGAATGACGGATTCCTGCTGTTCGACGGTCATTGCATGGCTGACGCGACGCGCGCTTTTCTGGTCGGTATTGGGGGTCCGAGTGCGCTTTTTTTGGGAGTTCTGAGAGGTGGTAGCAGGAGCTCCAGCCTGGGCGATCGTACGCTTGTGGGAGGTGATTTTGGGAGGAGAGTGTTGGTGAATCAATTTGGAATCAATGGTAAATGCGATGGCGCCGTGAACAACCTCCACCTGCTTCCGGCGGCGACCCCCGCCGGTATAATGCCACACGTGCAGAAACGCCGCAAACTTTTTCCCCTGCATGAACGGACGCTGCAAAGTGATCATCTTCCCCCCATCTCTTTCAAAATGGCCTCCATCTCCGACCTCAAGCAGCTCGACCAGCACCTCGCCTCCAGGTCTTACGTCGACGGGTGAGTCCATGTCCGCTCCCCCTCTCTCCCTCTCCTTTCTATGATGATCTACCGTTTTGGTCCGTGTTTCCGAGCTCAGCGGCTTAAGACCCCGCGCCTTTCGCATTGAAGATACAACCATTCCAAACCCACTGACCCTTATCACCTTCCCCACTGCCTTCTTGTGTCCTGGACCACCACAATTGAGCGCACGGGCTGACAAGTCAAGATAGCAACCAGCCCACCACCGCCGATGTCGAGCTTTTCAAGGCTCTCGGTGAGGCCCCCGCCTTCTCCCACGTCGTGAGGTGGTACAAGCACATTGCTTCCCACTCTGCCGACTTTGCCTCCCTCCCCGCCGGCAAGTCTCCCATCACCCTCGGTGCCTCTTCTTCCTCTGCCCCTGCCGCCGCCCCTGCCGCTGCCGAGGACGACGACGACGAGGTCGACCTTTTCGGCTCTGACGACGAGGAGGCCGATGAGGAGGCTGAGCGAATCAAGGCCGAGCGTGTCGCCCAGTACACCGCCGCCAAGGACGCTAAGACCCAGGAGAAGCTCGCTGCCGGTAAGACTCTTGCGGTCGCCAAGTCTGTCGTCACTCTCCAGGTCAAGCCTTGGGATGACGAGACCGACATGGCCGAGATGGAGGCTGCTGTCAGGGGTATCGACAAGGACGGTCTTGTCTGGGGTGCTTCCAAGCTTGTCCCCGTCGGTTACGGTTAGTTTGTCTCTATCGAGGCAAAGGATCACGCTGACTCTTCACTCAGGTATCAAGATGCTCCAGATCACCCTCGTCATTGAGGACGACAAGATCTCTCTCCAGGACCTCGAGGAGGAGATCCAGGAGTTCGAGGACTACGTCCAGTCCACCGACATTGCTGCCATGCAGAAGCTTTAAGGAGCTTCTCTTGGGCGAGCGTGACAGTAGTAGAGTATGCACACGCTATGTAGCGGTTGTATATATGAAACGCCTTTTAATGCTGCATCTGGTTACGAGTTACATTAATCTTTCTTGAGGATGGCCAGCTTTCTGCCCCATCTCGCCTCTACCTTGTATTGACCCGGTGCTTTGCCAACGCCCTCTAACCCTCCCACCTCAGCCACCATCTCCCAGCCATCCTCTGTCAATCCAGCCCAATCACCTGTCACCACAAAGTCCACCCCGTCCATCCACTCCGAATTACTCAAATTCACTCCTTCACTCTTGTCATACACCCACCTCGGCTCTTCCGCCGCCGGTAAAGCAGGCCAAAAGGCAAGCCCCTGCCCGGCAGCATGGTCGTGCGTAAACGTAAACAGCGTCGCGCCCGTTTGCAAAGGGTACGAAGGGAACCATATCTTTTCCCCTTCCGCCACACCGGCCGCTTCTAACGCTTGCCACACTTCCCCTCCAGGGTAATTGTTGACACTCAAAAACGTCATCACACCTGTAGCCAGCAAATTGACCGCCAGCAGGCCCAAGACGGCGAGTCGAGCAAGGGGGCGGAGGTAGGATGAAGGCGGAGGAAGTGACCAGAGGTTAGAAGCCGATAGGGCGGAGATGATGTGTAAGATGGGCAGGATGGGGAGGATGAAGCGCCATTCTTTATGGCCCAGTGCGCTCAGGCCAACGAGGACACTGCTGATACTCAAGCCCCAGACGGTCAGTAACCGCCCGACACCTCGTCCAGCACGACTCTTATCCCAGCACCCCACTTGTCGCATCAACTTTTGACCTCCTACTCTAGCAGATGCCCAGAGCCCGCCGGCAAGCCCGACCAAGGCAAAGTTGCCGACAAGCAGTTTGGGGATAGAGTTTGTAAAGTAGTAGTGGAAGGGCATGATGCCCCATTCTTCAGAGTGGCCTTCGAGAGCGTTGTAGATAATGGATGAAAGCTCGGGCCAGAGTAGCTGGGATGGGGAATTGAAGGGGAAGTCTGGGTGGGAGAGGGCTGGGAGCCAGAGAGTGTAATCGATGGGAGATGTGATGGCTGGGTTTTGTATTAGCGATACTCGTTGAGTGCATGATGGGCTCACCCAGGGAACCAAAGCCTCCAATGAGACCCCATTGGATTACTTGACCGATTGTTGCCCGTTGGAGTACTACCAAGCTCAAAGCAAGGGGTAACACAAACAAGGCGAGCTCGAGGCGGACAATAGTCGCGAGCGCTGTGAGGATTATGATTGCGTTGCGCAGTTGCGTTTGGCCTTCTTTCGCAGTGGGGGAAGATTCTGAGCGAATAACCTGAGAGATGCTCCATAACACTGAGTCGGAAGTCAGCATATCTTCCCTGCGGTAGTGTAGTATCGGTCTCTTACCACCAGGAAGAGCCGTAAAGTTGGGCAACGTCCTTCCCGCATAATAAGAAGTGTGGAAAGTTCCCAAGCTTAGAAGAGTAAACCATACACGGGATGGAGTACCGTATACAATCTGCAAACTTGCGGCGAGGTGGTTAAATGAGAGTGAGAAGAAGGAGGCGAGGATGAGACGGACTGATTTCGAGTTCAAGTGAGCTAGTAATTGGGAAAAGGGAGCGTGGAAGCAAGGCTTACTGAGTAACTGAACGCCGATCTTGGTCTTGATTACACCGAGAGCCACAAAGAGGGCAGAGAAAGGGTATGTTATCAAGCCGAGTAGTATAGGCGGGAGGAACGACCTCGGCACAGCACCAGGAAACGTGATATGATCCCACTACACCAATCTCCCCTGTCAGCTTCACACTCCCTTCTGCATGAATCGAGACTTGCGTTCTTCAAGCCATCCTTGACAAAGCCGTACGCAAGCACATCGTGGACAGCATGCAGCGTAAAGCTCTCTTCGACTTTGGTATAGGGCGAGAGGAAGATGTGGGTGAAAGTGATGAGGAAGGGGAGGGAGGAGAGGAGGAGGGTGAGCGATTTCCTGTTTGGTGGGAGGGGCGAAGGGGGCGGGGCTGGCATACTTGCGGCGTAGTCAGAAGGATAGGAAGGGAGGTTTGCAGAAAGCTTGCAGAAAGCGAATGTCGCTCGTAGCTGAGGTGGAGGGAGCAGCGTCGACGCGACGCGACTGATTTCGACAGGCGTTGGAATGACTATCAGGTATACTGACGGGCCACATATTGAATAGGAAATATGTACTTCATCAGTTTCTTTTGGACGACCATATCTTACTATGCAACAACACTCAACATGAACAGGACAAGAGACAGATGCGTAGACCCATGGAAAATGCATGACATAATACATGCTCTCACTTCTTCAGCTTTCTTCTCAGCTTCATCTTTGGCGTAGGCGGTGGACTTGGTGGTAATGGCACATCCACCGCTACCTTCAGCTGATCTTCTAAACTGATCCTGATGGGTTGTGGCGGCGGCACCTTTGCAGGAGCCGGTGAGGGTCTATTGGCCGGCTGGCGAGTACGTGCAGGGCCTGGTAGGGATTGGTATGCTCGTATACGGGCTTCGCGGTATGTGTCTCGTATTTGGGGGTGGGATTGGAGGATGCGGTCGTAGAGCACTGAACAGCTGTAAGTACAGACATATAGAGGAATGGAAGCAATCGTACCATTTTCCATCGAGTCTTGAATGAGCTCGCTCATCTGGTGAGGATTACCGGTCGACATGAGAGGGATAATGTCTGCATGAAACTCTTCTTGCGCTGTTCCAAAGATCATCAGCAGCGATCAATGGAACTACAAGGCGAGACGTACCCTGTTCATTCATCCGTACCAACATGTCATTCACCAACTGCCACTCTTGCTCCTCCCTAGCTCTACTCAGGCTACTGTCTCCGCTCCATACTCCAGCCAGCTGAGATATAGTGATAGATAACGCGGTGAATAGTCGGTGCAAGAGGGCGATTTGTAGATATTGCGGCATAGCCAGTAGTTGTCTGGGAATGAAGAACGTGACTAGAGCAGATGGGGAGTAAAGGGCTGGGGAGAGTATGAGGGAGAGCTCTATGGCTAGTAGACTGGCAAACAGGGTGTGAACCCACTTTGGAAGGGTCAGCTTGGGTCGTAAGGATAGGTGAGACTCACGTATGATCCTGCGCGCGCTTTGCCGATAACTATGATAGAGTCAACGATAGTATCAGAGAGACAGAGTATCATATAGCTTACTAGCTAGGGCAAACATAATGATTCCAGAGACAATGTAGAAGCCCAACGAGCCTTGCAGTCCTGTGTAGATATTTTCCCTGACTGATGCTGCCTTCCAGTCGACTATCTGAGGACCGAATCTTCACCAATAATCAGCTCTGATTCGTATCGTCAAGTCATTGAGATCACCTATCATACGCATAACGCTTCACCGGATCTGACAGTGTCTCATAGGCTTTACGCGCAGCGATAAAGAAGTCATCGCTTCCAGGCCCAGCTCTATCTGGATGATGCTGTCTTGCTCTGTCACAATCGGGTCAGCGTAATTCAGCGTAACATCTGTAGGCACGTACATCAGCCGGAAAGCTTTCTTCAGCTCATCCTCATCTGCACTCTTCGTGACTCCCAACAGTCCATACCATCCTTCGCCCCCTAATCCCCCTTTTGCGAGAGTATACGCTTGCCATACACATATCACCCCCGTGAAAGCCACTCTATAATTCCTCGCATACGTTGGTGAGCCTTTTGGAGCTGGAGGGAATATTGTTGGAAGGTTGGAGGAGAGATGAGGGAGGAGGATGGTGGTGATTTGAGAGGGCAGGAAGGAGGCGAGGAGGGAGGAGATGAGAAAAGACATGGCGAGTGTGGAATTGAGCTAGTCGAGGGCCACAACGCGGGTCGCGTTCGCGCACAGGTTGGGTCTTGAATTCACTGCTGGTGTATGTCCTCCCCGTTTGCTGGTTTGACAGGTTATCTTGCAGAATGAAACGGTGATAAAATGAAAGAAATCAGAAGTCAGCGATGGCCGACGGGACGGAACCAAATGTTGTCACCAGTGAAGAACGAAGGCAAAAGGAGCATTCTTTCATTGTAGTCGCTTCAAAGTGTTCATCAAGTCTCGTTTGCCTATATGCAAGCGATCAGGTGTGTTCTTTGCTGGCTGGTATAGCACACTATCTCCCGAGTCAAGCTGCAGCATATGAGCATTTCTTCCTGTCTTCTTCCCTGGCCTCTCTCCGGACGACTTTGTGGTTCTTCTTCTCCTCCTTCTCCCCATTGCGCGCCCTTCGGCAGAGCGGATGACACAAGTAGGAAGACGTATATTGGCGTACAATGTCTGGCATCCGTGGAGATGCGAGACCTTGGGTTCTCCGTCGGTGCCCTGGCGCTAGGCTACACAGAGATACACCATAGCACATCATCGCCACTTCCACTTCCAATGCCCGGTGTCGACCACCAAGCGGTCAAGGCGGCTCTTCATAACAACAACACGCACCGGGATCCGGGTACGGATTACACAGTGCGCAATACATTGGTCAATAATGTCAACATATATTGACATCCGGACACCAGTTTGACCATATGGAGATGGCCGACAACGCGGCATCTATTGGCGCTATCTATTTGGTTCGACCTCTTCTCGTATAGCACGTCAAGGAAATTGCGGACTCCAGCCGAGCGATGTGCTACTGAAGATGTGATATGAGAGCGTCACTCGCTCTAATACTGGCGCACGAGCGATACCGCCTGATCCTTACCTATCTCGACGGGAGTCAAGCTTATCGTCGACTGTCTTTGGATACCGCCTGAGCCCTGATGTGAACACTGGGGGGTCCTGGGCCTAGGCCCGCACACTATATAAGAGACTAGATGGAGGGTCTCTTCGTCTTTCACGGAAGCTTTCCCATCATGACCGCCGCCCCTTCCTACACTCTCGATGGCTCCCTGGGCGATACGGCGGTTCGCGTCGCCACCCTACCTGATCCTCAAGAGGACAGAGCAAATAATGACGCCTTCAATATCGACCAGTATCGCCAGCAAGTCCCAAAGTGGAAACGCATCAGAGACCACAGCTTGACGCAGATGTTGATGATGAGCGCGCTTGCTTTCTGTGGGCCGGCAATGGGGGACGCGATAGGTGGTGGGTGTTTCCCACGCTTGGGGAGGAGTAATGGTGCTGACACTCGATCATAGGCCTGGGAGGGGGAGGTCTAGCTACACCAACCACTAGCAACATCGCGTAAGCTGGGGGTAATAATATGCTTCAGCTGACTTGCATATCAGTACGGCAATCTCCTACTCAATGCTGGCCTCTGTGTGCTTTTTTGGTGGACCTATCGTCAACACGCTTGGAACAAAGTGGGCTTTGGTCATTGGCGCCGCTACGTTCCCGATCCATGGTTCCGCCTATTACTGCAACTCAAAGTTCGGTAATCAATGGGTAAGCCTTACCTTTACCGTGACCGCCAGACTAGGTCGCGCCCGTCCAGTAGCTGATTGTGTTTAGTATCTGATCCTTTCGGCATTCATTGGCGGTATTGGCTCAGGATGCTGATATGTGGCAGAAGCCGGGACGATCATGTCTATCGCTCCAGGCGCCTCCCGCGGCAAATACCTAGCTCTCTGGATCGTCGCTCGTAACCTCGGACAGCTCATCGGCGGTGCTATCAAGTGAGAATGACTCTCTATCAGACCATGCCCATGCTAATCATATCCCAGTCTGTCCAAGAATCATGCAAGCGACAAGAGTGGCGGCGTCAGCCCATCCACCTACCTTGTCTTTGTCGCCATCGAATCGCTCGCCCTGCCGTTCGCATTGCTCATCAGCCCGCTGGAGAGAGTTGTTCGCTCGGATGGGACTCGGATCAGGATAGAAGAAAAGAAACCGGCCAAGGAGGAACTCTTCACTATCAAGAGGACTATTTTCTCCAAGCTCATCCTGTTGTCTGCGCCATGGGCGTTCTGGTCGTTCTTCTACAGGCAAGTCTAGTCCGTCTTTTCGGGACAATGTGGCTCACCTGCTTTCTGACTGTAGCGGCTCTTGGTCCACTTACCTGTCGCTCTACTTTTCGGTTCGCGCCAGAGCCCTATCATCTCTCATCTCTCCCTTCTTCTGCATGTGAGCTTTTGATCCATGTTTGGCATGTCAGTGTTGATATCAGACAAAAGTGTTGGGTGCTTTGGCCTTGGGTACGTTTTGGACCTCAAAAACTACAGCCAACGACGTCGCGCTCAGTTTGGCTTGGCTCTCGTCGTGCTAACCAACGCTGGCGTATACATTTGGTCAATCATCGAGCAAGTCGAGTTTATCCGTGATGATCCCGGGGCCATCGACTGGTCAGACAAACAGTATGCGTCTGCGTTCTTGCCCTATTTCTTTGTGCAGACTACGGGGCCGCTCTCGCAGGTATGTTGATCCCATCAATACGATATCATATGCACCCTCGCTTATCTACCTACCCAGAGCTACATGTACTGGGTCCTGTCATCCTTTGCCGATAATGCACAAGGTGATTGAATCTTCTGGGGACGATCTTTGAAGCGTATGTTTCTGACTCTTCATGTCATCAGCCAACGTGCGGAATGGCGCGGCATTCCGGTGTATGGAAGCTATAGGTCAAGCGGTCGCTTATGGTATGAACACCAAAACCGGCAGCAACCCTCTAGTCGGATTGTAAGTGACGAGAGCTATTCAAGTTGCTGAAACTGACAATATTACCAAGTTGTGTCACCGCTGGCCTGATGATAGCTGCGCTCCCGACTTTCCTTGTCCTCGCCAATTCTACCCCGGACCGCATTCCTGCTGATATCCTTCTTGAAGAGGAAACACGAAATGTCAAGAACGAGGATGACGGGACAGAGGAGAAGAAGGATCCTGCTCTTGCAACCATCGTAAGCTCAATTTGAGCTTTACGAACGTGCTTAAAGTCACCACCTCTACTTCGCACCATTCCTTTCACCTCTGGGTACTGGCAGTGTACCTGATACGTCTCTCTTCTCTTGGTCCTGTTGCGTGGGTATGCATAACATCACCTGAACTTACCTCGGCCTTTACTTTTCCGTACGCGCACGAGCTCTTTTTTCCCTTCTCCTTTCTTCTGCATGTACGTTATCTCTCCCGTCAGAAGAGCTATACAGACCGCAGGCGGAAGCGATTTTCGAGTTCGTTGTGGGATGCGAGTCACTTTTCCTTCCGAACCTCGCGATCGCGGCCTTCAATTGGTTCCCGCGTTGATTTGGTTCCCGCATTTTGGTTTAAGCGAGCAGCTATCACTTATCAGCAGGTGTCCGGTTATTAGGGAATAGGGATCGGTAACTCCGGTCAATTCCCCTCGTTATCATAGGTCCGGTATCAGCTGAGTTGAGTAAATCACCTACTCATTTCCAACCGCAAGCGCTCCTTCCGCAACAAGTATGGCAGATTCGTTATATATAGCCATTCAATCGGCACTTCTTCTTGTCCACCAACCAACTGTCCACCATGTCACCCTACAAACCCCTCCAGGACGCCTTCACTGGCTGCCACAATGATACTCTAGGTATCGGTGCCCTCCCCCTCGATCCTGAAGACTCCTATGGCGAGGAGAACGTCGACATGGACCACTATCGCAAGACCGTCCCCCTCTGGAAGCGGATCCGCAATCACAGTCTCACTCAGATGATTCTCATATCTATCCAGGCTACAGCGGGCCCAGCCATGGCCGACGCGATTGCTGGTGAGTAAAGACTGCGTGTGTCGGAAGAGTGGCTGACCCTCGCAGGCCTGGGTGGAGGTGGTTTAGCTACACCGACTACCAACAATATTGCGAATGCCATCAGTTACGCTGTCTTGGCTCTGGGTAAGTACTCGAATATATGAACCTCTTGACCTGACATCCGGATGTAGTCTGTTTCCTTGGAGGTCCTATCGTCAACAAACTGGGAACAAAATGGGCTCTTGTGATTGGCGCCATATCGTTCCCCTTCCGAGGAGCGTCCTATTATACCAACAGCAAATATGGGAACCAGTGGGTGAGTAGCTTGATATAATATATGTAGATGTATATTGCTTCTGACCAATGGCGCAGTTTATCATTGTGGGCTCGCTGCTGGAAGGACTGGGGACCGGTTGTTGGTATGTCGCAGAGTCTGCGACAGTCATGTCTATTGCGCCTAGTGGTGCTCGTGGAAAGTACCTCGCTCTGTGGATAGTTTCGCGTAACCTGGGCCAGCTGATAGGAGGCGCGGTGAGGTGAGCAGTTTGTACCCTTCATTTGGTTGTGGCTGATGCACTCCTCACAGTCTTGCGCAGAATCACGAGCCGGGGGTCGAAGGTGGTGTCTCTCCCAGTACTTTTATCGTCTTCATGTGTATTGAGTGCCTGGCGTGAGTGTGGTCGAGTACATAGTGCTCTGCTGACTACGGTTCATCCAGGCTTCCATTTGCCTTCTTCATCACGCCTCTGGAACATGTCGTAAGATCGGACGGCACTCGGGTCCCGATGGCAGCAAAGACATCTACAAAGAAGGAGCTTGGCTACATCAAGAAGACGTGGCGATCCAAGATCGTCTACCTTTCGGGTCTGTGGGCCTTCTGGACATTCTTCTACGGGTGAGTGATCACTACAGACACAGAGAACTCACACTGACTTGATCTCAAGAGGTTCCTGGTCTACATACCTCGGTCTCTACTTTTCCGTCCGAGCCCGCGCTCTATCGTCCCTAATCTCCCCGTTATTCTGCATGTGCGTTATCGCTTTCGTCAGAAGAGCTACACTGACCGTTCCGCTTCAGTGTCGGCTGTTTCATCCTCGGTTTCATCTTGGACATCCAAAGCCTGAGCCAACGCCGTCGTGCTCAACTCGGCCTCGCACTCGTCGTCATCACCAATGTGGCAGTATACATCTGGTCCATCATCATGCAGGTCAAATTCGACCGAAATGACCCGGGAGAGATTGACTGGAATGATGGACGGTATGCCGAGTCTTTCTTGCCCTATTTCTTTGTACAGACGACGGGACCCATCTCTCAGGTGAGTTCTGCACTCAACGTTCTGTGCTCGGCGCTGACAGTGGATGGCAGAGCTTCATGTACTGGCTCATTTCATCTTTCGCCGAGAATGCTCAAGGTATGCCTGAAGGCGGGATATCATTACTCTCTTCATGCTGACATCCTTCTCAGCCAACGTGCGAAATGGCGCCGCTTTCAGATGTATTGAAGCCATCGGTCAGGCCGTCGCTTATGGTATGAACAGCAAAACATCCGACAGTCCTCTCATCGGCTTGTGAGCTTCTCTACCCTATGTGCCTCGCCTTGTTCTGACCTTGTCATAGCTGCGTTACAGCAGGCCTCTTGGCTATCGCTTTCCCACCATTCCTTGTTCTGGTCAACTCTACACCCAACGTCATCCCTGGAGAGGTGACTCGCCACAATAACGGAGGAGAGGGTAAAGAGAAGGAGAGTGTGGATGACGAAGCTCTCAACGAAAAGCAGAAAGATGGGGAGAACACGACCGCTGTGACTATGCTCGAGGCATAGATCAAGAGGAGTGGTAGGACCGTGATGTTTTTGGTTGTTTGTCTTGCTCTAGTTCTCCCGAATTGTAGCCTTTTTGGGCAGGTTGTGTTAATCATTGTTCCCGTATTCATTTTGTAGCCACGGGCACCCTAGACATAAGAGTAGAATATGTCATGTGTTCAACAATAGACTCCTATAACAATGTTACATGAAATTGGGAGCTCAAACTCCCACAGACCACAACAGATGGGAATACTTATACAACCGTTTCAACAAACGTCCATCATTTCGGTCTCGTGTCCTTTCCTTTCGTCGTCGAACGTCTCCCGCTTAATCCACCAAGCGCCCAAGCAGATTCGACCATCTTCTCCATGCCCCACGCCCACCCAGCGACGCCAGCCAATGTGAAGACCACGTTGGACGCTAAGGCAATCGATGGTACCATCATTGAGCCGTATCGCTACAAGCATCATCGTCAGTCCGCAATGTCAAAGCATGTCGGCTGCGAAAGACTTACCACGATACCTGCCAGAGATGTGACTAGTATAAGATGACTCGGTGCCCCGATCAGTGTTGACCACAAAACAGCCGCAGCGAGGCTGACCAGCAAGCTTCTCAAGTCTTCGGCAGCACTACAGGCACCTGCGTCAGCATTGTGGTATCATCGAGACAACACTCACGTGACGGCCCCGACACAAGCAGCCCATGATCCAGCAAGCCACACGTCATCCCCTACACCGAGCCTTTCCGACCCTCTCGCCGATCCTCCTCTGAGAGACATCATAAGTAGCAAGGGAAGGACTGGCAACACCACATCTCGCCGAGAACCTAGGAATACAGATGAAGAGCTGGATATTATGAACATTGTTTGTAGGATGAGGTTGTACATTGGCGGGCGCCTGGGTGATGATTTCTGATGAGCGCTGGGTTGACGGGGTGGCTGGAAGGGGTAAGAGGAATAGAGGAGGACGGCTAGAGGGGCTAGGGCGCCGATGAGGTTTCCTGTGAGGAGTAGCTGTGAACAAATTAGGACGTGTACTAGAGTAGGCGTCCCCACTCACCCTGTGCCGGCTGATATACGCCTGTATCGTCCTCAGAACAGTGTGCCATGTGTGTTGCCCATCGGAATAGGCGATACACTCTTTGAGGGGCAAGACTTCCAACAGAGGTATCAAGAACTCAGACGATAGCGGTCCGGGTGCACTGAGCAACCCGCTTAGGAGAACGTCGATGGAGTAGATGATGCGCTTTCTGACATAGCATGTATATGCTGCCAAGAGCGGGCTGACGACAAGCAAGGCGTTGATGGATAACCGCATCTGTCTTCTTGGTTGTGAGTGGACATCCAACGACTAAGAACCCACTCACTGACGACCTCCCATCCAGATTGACTTTCCAACAAGATATCCCCATACTGATAAAGCGTACGGCCAGGTCTTTGCGGATAGGATGCAGGTTGATAGAGCGATAGCGGCAGCGGAGAGATCGTGGCCGGACGAAAGAAGTCTCAAGGAAGCGACTGTCGAGCTCAGGGCGAGAATATGGTCAACGGGTAATATCAGAGGAGACAGGTTTATAGTGAGTATACTGGTGATCTAGAAGAGGCATCAGTCTCAGAGCTCTGGGGCATGTTGACGTTGACCCACTTGACTACGCAGACTCCGGCCGCCGCGCTGACCTTCATCTCTTGCCCATGACCATACTGCCACCCGCCAAATAAGCGCGCGTAGAGCCTCCACGACCCAATCTCCAGGCTTGAATTGGGCAAACCTCCCGGACAGTTGCCCCGATATCAAGTTGATTACCACGGCGCCCACCTGGCTCACACACAACGTCCATCCTGCCCAGCCCCGCCAAGTCATCCATCGTATCCAGAGTCGTAATGGCGATTCAAATGTTCCTCCAGTGAGAGTTGACCGTTCTGCTGTGATTGCTCGTCTTCTATCACGTTTGGGGTTACTCTGCTGAGCAGCCACTGGGAGATGAGACTCTGTGGGAACACCTTCCGGCGTGATCTCGAGGCCCAGCGCCGACACACCAGGATTGTTATTGGATTCTACAGTTGGTAGTGGTCCCAGATTAGAGGCTCGTCGAGGTTTGCGATAAGTGGGGCCGGGAGAGGAAGAATACGGTCGCCCGGGAGAGAACGGGGATGACTCTCGTGCGAGATTGTCAAAATTGGATCGGCTTGTCGATTCGAATGGTGGATGTAGCAAAGGCTGTAGAGGGTAAGGTGATGAGTCGTGAGACTGGTATGTGGTACTCGAGAATATCGACTCCAAGTCTGTCTCGCTCCTGCACAGTGGTCAGATGTTTGGCTGTTTCGCATGTGGGCGTGACGCCAGATGACTCACTCGGCCACGCTTCCATGGCTGAATCTGTTCCGCGAGGGATCCCTGAAAGAGTCGAGGGTGGCCCTGTGCTGCTGGTAGGACACCCGGCGTGACATGGCTGGATAATTGTAGTGCACAGGGTGTAAACAGATGTCGCTGAATGGACATCCGAAAGTGGAGGCTGGGTGGAGGCATCTGCTTCCGCTCCGGGTAATGCGGCGGCCGGCGAAAACCACTCTTCGCTTTCAAAGATCTCGGTCTATACCTCAAGCTGTGAATTCCACAGCTCTGGTCGTTGTCGCCTCCGAATCAGTCAGCAATCATGACGCGCTACTCTTCAGCGACAGTCAACGAGCTCCGTGCCTCTTCATGGAGCCGCACCAGAGTCGCTCTCAGTCGCCCTTCTCGCCCCTTCCTCGCCTCTTCGTATTCCATCACAGCAGCGCAACGGCCAAGCGCTCTGCAACACTTTCCCGCCACAAAGAGAAGCCCACTGTCTCTCACTCAAACCGGCCGACTGGCATCGCGTGGCATCCTCAACGCCGCCAAAGATGGCGCCGTTAGGTCATTGTCTACCTCGCGATCACTACGGGACGTCCAAGCGAATCTACTCAACGGCAAGACTGTATACGCTCCGACCACTACCTCTTCTAGCCCTGAGAGTATCGCTTTGAAAGCCCATTTTGACACCCCTACCCCGATATCGCTCTCGAAGGATACGTCGACATCGACTCTCTTCAACCTGCCCCCTCTCTCATCACCTCGCTCCCTTCGGCCGTTGACTGAGCGCACAATGATCCATTCTGCCGCACTGGTAGACCGGATATGCTCTGCTCCCAATGACCCGTCGGGTAGGGAGCTGAGGCTGGTGGTCAAGAACCTTGACCGTTTGAGTGACGTTCTCTGTGGAGTTATAGACATGTGTGAGCTCGTGAGAAATGTACACCCCGACGAGCAGTGGGTACAAGAAACGGAGAAAACATATGAAGTTCTGTGCAGCTTTATGAATGAGCTCAACACAAATGTTGATTTATACAAAGTGAGCATGGCCGCACATGTCAAGCTTTCGCTGACGCACAGCCCAGACTCTCTTCCAAACCGTCTCCCATCCATTCCCCAACGACCCCCTCACCCCCGCCGAGCTCAAAGTCGCCCATACCTTTCTATTTGACTTTGAGCGGTCCGGCATTCAACTCCCACCCGACGTTCGCGCCCGCTTCGTCCATCACTCTGACAACATTCTCTCCCTCGGCAGATCCTTCCTCACTTCTGCCTCATCCGGACCATCACCCGAACCTCTTATAGAGATCCCCGAGCCCGAAAGGTTGCTTCAAGGATTACCAGACAGGTTCACCAGCTCTTTACCGCGGAAAAAGCGGGGCGGGCCTGTCTTGCTCGAACCAGGATCGTGGGAAGCACAAATGGTCAGCCGATACGCAGACAACGAAGAAGCTCGGCGTCTAGCCTACATTGGCTCCATGCGCGCAGAACCCGATAGGGTACAAGTGCTGGAAACGATGCTTTGCGAGAGAGCAGAGCTTGCGCACTTGTTGGGCAAAGAATCATGGGGCGACGTGACTCTGACAGACAAGATGGCCAAGACGCCGCAGAATGTGCTGGGGTTCTTGACATCGTTGGCTGTACACCATAAACCGTCGGCGGCGATGGATGTTGCGGCGCTACAGAGGTTGAAAGCGATGGAGACGGCGGACGGGCCGATAGTGACGCTGCCGCCTTTGTATGCTTGGGACAGGGACCATTTCGGGGAAAAGTACACTGCGTCCCTCATGCCTGACAGCGGTCTGCCCCCCATCACCCCCTACTTTTCAACAGGAACAGCCATGTCTGGTCTCTCGCAAATCCTATCCAAGCTCTACGGGATCACATTCAAACCTGTACCCGTCGCCCACGGGGAGGTATGGCACCCATCAGTGAGGAGGTTGGATGTCGTGGACGAAGGTGGCAGGACCGTTGGTGTAATTTACTGTGATCTCTTTTCGCGGCCTGGAAAACCTTCGTCTGGCGCAGCTCATTATACTGTGCGTTGCTCGAGAAGAGTCGACGACGACGACTATACTGGGGATGGATTGGCACCTGGCTGGGACGCGAGTCTAGGGAAGGGCATGGAGGTCAATGGAGACAAGCTGGAGGGTAGAGAGGGGAGATATCAGCTGCCGATTGTGGCTCTTGTGGCAGATCTTGGACAGGTGGCTGAAGGGAACCCAGCTTTGCTAGGCTGGACCGACCTGGAAACTCTGTTTCACGAGATGGGCCATGCCATCCACTGTAAGTTTGCTTCTCTCGATATGTAAATCAATTGACCTATTCATAGCGATGCTCGGCCAAACCGAGTTCCACAACGTCTCTGGCACTCGCTGCGCCACTGATTTCGTCGAGCTCCCCTCCATCCTAATGGAACATTTCGTCTCCTCCCCCGCCGTCCTCTCCACCTTTGCCACCCACCACATCACCTCCGAACCCCTCCCCATCCCCCTCATCCAAGCCCACCTCCAACTCTCTCAATCGCTCAAAGCTTTGGAAACGCACTCTCAAATCTTGATGGCGCTTCTGGACCAAAAGTACCACAGTGTGCAGTACGGTCAAGGGGTGAACAGTACCAAGATCTGGGAAGGGCTGCAAACTGATGTGGGCGTGCTCCCGCCCGTAACCGGTACAGCGTGGCAAACGCAGTTCGGTCATTTGTACGGGTACGGCGCGACATACTATTCATACCTCTTTGACCGGGCGATTGCCAGTAAAGTGTGGACTACGCTGTTTGATCGTCCGGGAAGAAGCGGGTCGGCGGAAGATGCGGGTGGGATACTGTGTAGGGAAGGCGGGGATGCTTTCAAGGACAAGGTGCTCAGGTGGGGTGGAGGAAAGGATCCGTGGGAGATGGTTGGGGATGTGATTGGTGGGAAAGAGGGAGAGACGATTGCGAGAGGGGATGAGAAGGCGATGGATCTTGTTGGCAGCTGGGTCGTCAAATAGAGCATCAACCATCTTATAATTGCACGACTCCGACATCACCCTGGTATTGTCAGTGTACAATGCATCACGTTATATCGTACAACATTCGCAACGAGATATTGGGTCACTGCTGTGGCGACGACGCTTCTCTTCTCCGTATCACCTCAACCTGTTGAGAGTCAGTTCATTCACCCGACGCATAGAGACCACTTGCATAGTTTCCCGGGAACCACCCCACTCTCCCATCCCTCGTCCTCCCTCTCCACCAGCCTTCACCCTGAGCCCCATTCGCTGTCCCCCTCTTTTCCAGAATCGCCACAATCTCATCCCTCCCCAGTCCCAGCTCCCACTCTTCCGACGCCTTGAACTCCCATTTCGCACGCACAAACTCTAGCTTGGTCGGGTCAATCTGCCCATCCGCTCCTATCGCCGGCGAGACACCCAAAGTCTGATCAGATGATAATTGTTGTTGCTGATGAGCGATGAGCAGCTTTATGAGGCGTGACATTAAATAAGGCAGGCCGATTGAGGAAAGGAGGAAGAGAATGAGGGGTTTGATGGACGGTCTGCCTCCTGGGGCTGGGATGCCTGGGGCAGAACCGGGAACGGCATGCGACCACTCGTTCGCCCATCCATCTGCACGCACACCCTTGCCTTTACCCCTCAACCAAGCGAGCACCCGCCTTCCTAATCTCAGTACTGAGAACACACCAAGCACCTGTCCGAGGTACGTCTTGAGAGACCCAAGTTGGTCTGCGACGCCGACCATGGCAAAGAATGACGAGTGGGTGGCCATATAGGTGGATTCGATAAGCTGGGCGAGGGAGGTGAATGCTGTGACGAGCGATTCGAGGACGGCAAATGCTGGGGCAGTGCTTGCTTGGAGAGAAGACGTCAATGTTGGGTAGCCCTGTATGTAATTGTCAGCTGCAAATCCACCACCGTGGGGCATGGGTTGCTTACCTCGCCAGGCCCGCCCATCCCACCGACACCATAACCGCCCATCCCATACCCCCCGCCATATCCTCCATAGCCACCACCCAGCCTGCTCATACCCATCCCCCCATATCCTCCGCCGTATCCTCCGTACCCCCCTCCGTAAGAAGACATGCCGCCCATACCCCCATACGGCGATATACTAGACATCCCACCGTATCTCTGTTGTGAATATGGTTGCAGCGACGAACCTGCTCCTGTATCTATCTCTTGTCAGTGTTATACTGAGATAGTCAAGGGGGCCCTACCCGCAGCGCCGAGTCCGGCTGGCTTGTCAGGTAGTCTGGGAGCGTTGGTACTGGAAGACGAGGTGGATGCTTGCAGCGCGCTATCGAACGCCAAGGCTGTTGCGCCGGTTGTAGCTCCCCCAGCTGATGATTGCGTCTCCCATGGCTTTGGTCTTGGGGGTGCTGAGGCCATGGCGTTTGCACGATAAATGCAAGATTATATGCAGATGAAAGAGATGTTCGGGAATTAGTTCGTTGCGTACTGTAACCGGCTTCATCCATCACTCTCCTCGACCCTCGTTCACCGCCATGTTCCCCTCGAAGGCGCCCCTCGAGACACCCCTCGCTCTCTCCTCCCCCTTCAAATGCCCCCCGCCCAAGCTCGCCGTCGTCAGAGACCCCTCCATCAGGGTCAGGCAGGCCGTCCGTGGTCAGTCCCCTCTTCATACCTCTGGATTGTACTGATACGCTACAGACAACAACGTCTCCCTCCTCGCCCGGCTGCAGTACAAGACAGACTTGCGGAATACAGACAAGAACCGTCTCACCAGCTTGAGCTGGGCTGCCATTGAGGGCAGCTTGGAAGTGTTTGAATGGTTGCTCTTGGACTATGGCCATGACGACCAAGAACTCTCGAGAGTGCGTCCCATTACATCTCACAAGGACCACGACTGATAAACTCGTAGGATGCCGACAACAATACCATCCTCCACCTCCTCGCCTCCGTCCCCTCGCTCTCGCTCTCCCCCCACACCCACCTCCTCCTCGCCTCCTCCCTCCCACCCCGTACCTCCCCCTTATCCCTCGCCGAACAATCCACCATCTCCCTCCAGATGACCCAGTCTTACCTGACCCTCTTCCCGTTCCTCTTGAATTGGTCGAATACGGGCGGCAAGACGGCCTTGCACGTCGCCGCCCAGTCGGGGAATTCGCCCTTTATCGAGTTCCTATGCGACTTTGCAGGGGCCGATGTAGATATGGTCGACCTCCAAGGTAACGCCCCTTTGCACTACGCAGCAGCCTGGGGCCATCTGGAGAGTGTGCGGGTGCTGTTGGAGAAGGGATGTCAGTTTGGAGCGCAGAATTTTGAAGGGTTTACGGCGAATGATTTTGCGTATTCCGAAAGGGTGAAGAAGGGGCTGCAGGATATGGCGAGGGAGATTTTTGATGAGCGGAGGATGAGACGGAAGGAGGAGAGGGAGAGGATGGAGAGGGAGAGGGAGAGGGAAGGTGCGAGGGCGAGGAGTGGGAGTCAGTCAACGAGCGCGTCGTTGGGCGGCAGTTCTGTCGGCGTGGGATCATACCCGAGTAACCCAGGGAGGTACTTTGAAGGGTACACCCCTGCCCCAGCGGCTTCCGTGCCAATGTCGCGCAGAGGCTCAGACCAAGCCAGTGTCACTTCCTCAATAGCATATACTCGGCCTTCCCAGACATCCTCGCGCTACCCCTCCATCCCCCGGCTCAACACTTCCCCATCAGCTATCGCGCCGTCCCTCCCAACGACATCTTCACCGCTGGCGACTCAACCGCCCGTGCCGTCGCTTGCTGCACCCCCGGCGTCTGTGACGCATCAGGCGAGCTCGACGCCGTTCCCTGCGAGGTATCCGACGATGCCGGGGCCGGCTTCGGTGGGGATGGTGAGGCCGTCTGCTAGTATTGGGCCGGGGCTTGCAACAGTGCCGGGGGGTAGTCAGGGAGCGGGTAGTATCAAGAGGGCGAATTCAGCGCAGGGGATAGGGCGGGAAGTGTAATTTGTAGACATATAACGAACCTAACGAGCCGGTTGTACATGTCAATATATCCATCTTTCACCATCAATCGTCAACAGGTTCTAACGTATATCCCAGATACTTGATTCACAGCAACATCATACGGTAATCAAGAAGACTCGTTCAGAAAGCACGATTAAGCACCCCTGGACTGCCTGTAGTCGCCCTCGGCGGCAGTGGCAGCCTCTTCGATCTGGCCCTGGATACCGGAAAGAGTCTCGGCGGCGGTGGAATAGTAGATGAGCTGGGCCTTGACGAGGTTGGAAATGTTCTGAAGCGGCTCGGGCTGCGACACCATGAGCTCCTTCTCACGGTCAAGTGGACTGAACTCACGTTCTCAAGCACAGCCTTCATAAGCCCGATAGCAGTCTCAGTATTCTGCACAAGCCTGTCCTCCGCCTCCTCCACATGCAACCTGGCCTGCTCCTGCTTGGCGGGCGCAGCCCCCTTCAAAGCGGCCCTAGCAGAGTCGAGCTCCAGTCGGGACTCCTTGACGTTGGCGCGGGCCTTGAGGGCGAGGCTGATGGAGGTGGAGAGGGTGGCTTGCCAGGGGGTGACGAATCGCTCCGAGATGAGTTGATCCTGGGCGAGACGGGCGTCGCCGACCTATATCACATTAGCGAGTAGGTTCCCGTGGGCAGAGACGACTGACCTTTTCCATGGCGGCACCGTAGATACCGAGGTTGACGCCCAATCGGTCGTCCCCAAGCTCGGTGGCGCCCGACTTGGCAGCCCTGGAAAGAGCGTGAGGGAGAGTCTTGGGCTGGTGAGGAGGAGGCGCAGTGGGGTTGGGAATGGGGATGGGCAAGTTGGTGCCCTGTACAGGATATGTCAGTTGCTGCGCAAGATGTAACAAGCCACGGGTCACACCTTGAGGTTCTTGTTGGCAAAGGTGCTCCACGCGGAAGCTGCCTGTTGGCCGACTTCGGAGAGACCCTCGGTCACATCGGCGGGGTAGTCGTACTGCCCTAATGAGCACAGTACCGCAAAGGGGACGTGAGGGACGTACAGACTCTCGCTCGTGGACCTTTGTGATCTTGAGGAGTTTCTGGTGGACCTCCTTGAGGGCGTCGACTCGGGCCTCGAGCTGCTTGTACTCGGCGGGAAGTCTGGGCGATGTCAGTGCCAGCGTGGCCCTGGGCAGCGGACTCACTCTGTGATACCGTCGGGGCCGACATGGCCGATGCGTTCCCTGGGTGGGTGAGCAGTGCACGGCAGGACGGACAGGCACGCACCTGGTGGACTGGAGGGTATGCCTGAAGCTCTTGCTGACGGCGGTGACGTCGACGGCGGGGAGGGCCGGGATCTGCGCCTGGAAGTTGCGGAAGGCCTGCATCGTGCGTGGCGAGAGAGAGAGGGGGAAGGGGAGATATTAGTAGAGGCGCGGGATCAAATCACTCGAACGCGCGTCTTGTCTCTGCTCACTGCATCTCCGTCCACCATCCACCATGACCCGCACCGGATTCGACTTTGCCCACCACGCAAGGAACAACTTCCTAGGACAGCGCCTCCAGGGCGTCCCCAAGGGTCCGTCAACTCTCACATCAACAGCCCACGCTGACCATCCGTAGCCACTTCGACGGGTACCACCATCGTCGGGGTCATCTACGGCGGCGGAGACTCGGGAGACGAACCCGGAGTATGCCTTGGTGCTGATACACGAGCCACCGGTGGGCCTATCGTGGCCGACAAGAACTGTGAAAAGGTGCGTCCTTGTCATCACTGGACGGTACCATGGCTGATGAGTGCAGATCCACTACCTTGCGCCTCATATCAGATGTTGCGGTGCTGGTACTGCCGCCGACACCGAGTACGTCTCATACGCTTACTATACGGCAACGTTACTGACATTTCGTGTCTTAGATTCGTCACCAACCTCATCTCTTCAAACCTCGAAGTATGTCCCTATGACCACCTCGTCGCCCACTACTAACCCTACATCCAGCTTCATGCCTTGTCCCAAGGCCGTCAAGCTCGTATCGTCACAGCCATGACCATGCTCAAACAGTACCTCTTCCGGTCCGTCACCCTTCCACCTCCTTTACATTTCCACCCCGTCTGACAGTATTACAGATACCAAGGACACGTCGGTGCGCACCTCGTCCTCGGCGGCGTCGACGCCACTGGTCCTCAGCTCTTTACCGTCCACGCCCATGGATCCACCGATAAACTGCCTTATGTCACTATGGGCAGTGGTAGTCTGGCCGCTATGGCGGTCTTTGAGAGTAGCTTCAAGGAGAACATGACTGTACGTATCATCATCCCTTCCTTGGTGGTGGAGGAGGCTAATATTTTTTGGGGGGGGGTAGAAACAAGAGGCGATTGACCTGGTGGCGAGGGCTATTGAGAGTGGTATTTGGAACGATCTTGGATCAGGTTCCAATGTCGATGTCGCCGTGATCACCAAGGCCGGTACCGAAATGCTCCGAAACTACCAAACTCCCGTACGTCCTCCCTCTGACTCTTCCCCTTCTTCTTTGCACTCTTACTGATATGGGGATAGAACGAGCGAGGCACCAAATCCCGCAACTACATCTTCCGCCGCGGTACAACAGCCTGGACGAAAGAGTCTATCCGCAGCTTGATTGTCAAGGAGGAGATCAAGTCGACGAGTGGGGCGGGGAAGGAACAGCCGGGTGTGGAGGTGCAGGGTGTCGCGACCGCCGCTGGGGCTGGGGGTGGGGATGGGATGGAGATTGACAGCTAGAATGTTGAGAAGCGTGGACATGTATCGACCTGTACAAAGGCAGCTTCATGATTGCGACCAGTTTCATGCGTGCCCCGCTTATAGCAAATAAAGGTGGATATGGGGCTGTCTCCTCTCCTCTCTGTGAGGTTCATTCAATCCTCTACAAATTAACGATGCGAGACAACGAAAAGTGGTGCACACCATCTCATTGATTGGAGACTTTCTTCCATTTGCCTCCCGATACCACCGACTGCGAATGTCAGATATCTTGATGATGCGGACTATGAGGAGTCATGGCTGTCAGTCATGGATCGTGCAGGCCAATGTCTACATGGCAAAGCACTTTTTGACCAAGACTGGTACGTCTATACAGCGCCTCTTGACGGAGTCATCATCTTTTAGCGAAATAATCGCATCGACATAATTACACTCTGCACAAAGCCGGCGTGTTACATTCTGACGTCGAGATGAGGCATTGGTATAGGACGCCTTCGGGAGACATACGCCTGATTGACTTTGATCGTGCAAAAGTGTTGGGAGAAGACGGTATATCAGCGGCGGAGAGCGAGATGAGGTTGATATACGAGGAATTCGGAGAGAATAATAATAGGAGGCAGGAGGAACAGAGGAAGAGGCTCCAGCCGCAGTAGATGCAGTGGTATGCTTCTGGATTCTGAATGGGCGTGCTGATATGCACACCAAACTATTATCATGTGTTGCCTGACGCAAAGTCACAGACAGCTGAGGTATGACTCTGCGGAAGACGGTCATATTCAGCCACTAGGGTCGGACAAGGGACAGGATTCCTTCTGTGGCGTAACAGGCATATTTATCTGGAGACCATGGCCCATCAGATACAAAAGAGTCTTCTTGTGCCAACCTTGTGCGTGCTTGCCGAGGGTGAGCAAGACGGGATCAAATCTGCATCGGCAGTTACCGCCCAATTACGTAACGCGCAAACACGTCAAAACCTTTCGAAACTTTCAATCGACTTTCAACCTTTCTTTCCTCGTGTTCAACGTGCTATTGACAAGATTTCAGCTTGGCCACCCCCTGTTTGCTCGCCATACAATTTGTGAGTCCCTCTTCCCATCCTCTCTCCCTTCTCCTTTCCGAAATTCTATGATGAAATACAAGCTGGCACCAGGCCTACTGTTATACTGGGGAAAACGCTCTGGCTCCATATATACGCATGCGAGTCTCTGAATCTATTACGCAATTTGTCGTCTCTCTTTTAAAATCTGTGCCCATGGGGAAACTGAAACTGACGGAGAATAGGGCTCTTTTGTACCCCAGTCCTCTCGCTGGACTTTTTGTATAGCCATTCATAGTAGGAGATTATCATGTACTTCAATGTCATTCACTACCACACGCACACCAGTCGATCCGGAATAGTTGTCGCTGATGTTTTTGGACTCAACGCAGCTTTGGTTGCTAGGCGCTATACGAGTACACAGCTAGAGCTACTCCTGGCTTACTTGATCTACACACGCTCTCTTCATCAGCCCTTCCATTGCCAGACCTGGCTCCCCAAGCTCCCCAAGCAATGCACCGCCCATCAGTCGGGTTGTCTCATCCACTCGGACTTTTGGCAAGACACACTCTTCCGTCTAGACGACGATTACTGTAATTTACAAATACATCAAATGCGAGGGTCTGTATGATCATATGACAACTTGAACACGACTCTGTAAATGTGGGTTGGGTGTGACGCCCTCAAAGCCAGCCCCAAGAAACTCTTCTCTATAGTCCTCTTCTGCAAGAGTTGCCCGACATCATGAAATCCTTTTCAAATCCCTCTGCAACCTCGCCCAAACCTCTTCTCCCAAGCTCCCCTTGACCATCCTCAACACATCCCCAACGCTCTTCACGCCTTGCTTATTCCTCTCCCTTCGCTCGCCTGCCGAAAGTGTCTTGTCTGAAAAGACGAGGAGGCTATACAGCTCGGAGATTTGGTCTGCTTTTTGTTCGAGCGTGTCTATGACTTCGCGGAGATGGTCGGCGAGGACATGGCGTTTGGCAGAGACTGAAGCAGGGTCGAGGACTTTGTACTGGTCGGCCAGCTCAGAATAGATACTGCTTGGGGTAAGCCACAGTCGGCATACACGGGGACACAAGTCGACTCACGATTTGTAATGCTTAAAGTCGTCTTCCAACTCTGCAATCACCCTAGCCAGGACCGTCGGTGGCGGCAGCTCATCGTCATGCCCGCCATTCAACAACACCTCACCAAGCCCCGAGACATCATACGCCTTGGTACGGCTCTTTGTCGGTTTACTGGAAGGACTGAAGAATTCCTTTTCCAGCTCTTCGTCATTGATACTCGGGAAAGGTGATCCGGGGCCTCCGCTCCTGTCTTCGTATGCCAGCTTGGACTTGTTTCGCTTGCTCTTGGACTTTCGCTCTTGTGGTCGGTGCTCGGGAGTCGGTGCTACAAGTGTTTGCCGGGAACCTGGTCGAGACGCAGTAGGAGAGTCATAATCATCGTCCGATGGAGGAGGAGTGGGGTTTTGAGAAATCTGAGAAATGTCCCGAGGTTGCTGGAAGGTGTACGCAGTGCTCGGCCTAGGGGGTTTGGCTTTTTGCTGGGCGACTAGCTCAGCTTGTCGCCTCTCTACGTCCGCCTGTGCTCGCCTAATCCCCTCATGCTCAGCCTCGACCACCTGTCGGACAAGCTTCTCCATCTCTGCTTCTTCCATTCGGACAGTCCGTTCACCACGAGCTCGTTTCTGGGTCTCGAGGCCTGAAGTCACGATACCTCCGAGTCGCTCAACTTCTCGAGTGAGACGCTCAATCTCCTTGCGGAGGGCAGCAAGCTCTGATTGAACAGAAGATGATTGGGAAGAGGGACCGGGTCCATTGTTTGAAGCGGTTTGGCGAAGATCGGCTACCAAGGCCTTGTTGTGTTCGACTTCGACGGTCAAACGAGCAAGATTGTCGCGGAGAGATCGTATAAGTTCTTCCAAAGCTGCAAGATGTGTGAGCTGGGAATATGACTCAGGTGCAATGCCTTACCAGATTTCTCATAGACTGCCTCTTTCACATTCTTGTCTCCCGACCTTTTTGCCGCATCGACCGCCTTCTTTGCCGCCTCCAACTCTTCCTCGAGCTCCTTCACTCTCCTCCGAGATACAGAGTTTTCCGTGTCTAGCGCCCTCAGCCTTGCATGAAGGGTAGCGAGTGTGTGAGGAATATTCACTATGGCCGTTAGCTTCGTCTTGGTAGAATAAACACAACTCACCTGCTGGCTCCCCTCCAACATCACCATCTCTACTGATGCCCCCGTACTTGTGGCCTGCTGCCGGAGTCGCCAGTAGACCCGATAATCCAGTGATGTCTGCAGAGACCTCCTTCCTCATCTCCGGTGCGCTAGCGGACCTCCTGCCTTCCGTCTGAAGAGCACGAACCCTGTCCGGCTTCTCCTTTCCTGTCGTCTTGCGCGGGCCGGGCGTACGAGAGACGTTGTGGACGTTGGATGCGCCAAGAGGCTGCCTTTTGGTTTTTGATTTTGGCGCAGGGGTCTGCTCGGCCTGGCGAGCGGCTCGAAGATCACCACTGATCTGGCGAGCAAAGGATGTAAAGTGGGACTTGGAGTCGAGGTCCACAGGCCTAGAGTCCATGGTCTTTTCTCTACTAGACGGAGGGCTGAGAAGCTGGTCGTTTCGGGATAGGGTATAGGAGAGGTTGAGAGGCTGGCTGGTGGCAGATGGAAGAGGTGAGGGTGACCTCGGTGAGAATGGCGAGTCTGGCCGTGACGGCATATTCTGCACGAGCAATGTTAGCGACAAACAAGATTTTTCTTTTGCGAAAGATGGCCCACCTTTGCACCCATAACCCTTCCCAGCTCTCCAACAAGCTTTCCCGTGCTCCTCTCTGAATCATATTGGCCTTCGGGCTCATTCTCCTTTCCATGCCTTCCCGCGTGACCACCAAACACACCTGCACCTAGGGTCATTGCGCTCGCATGGTGTCCAGCAGTTGAGACCGGACTAGATCCGGCAAAGACGCTTTGGGCACTCATGGAACTCATTCTCGATGTCATGCTCTGGGGAGCACGGGGAGTTCCAGAGGGTCCTTGGCCGTAGCCATACCCAACACCACTGACATGGTGTGCCGACGGTCGTATGGACTCGGCTCGGGGATACTCCAATGACAAGTCGGAAGAGGAGGAGGAGAGGAAGGTGTGATCTTGGTACTCCTGGGGAGCGGTTTGGTAGTATGGTTGAGACGATGAGGATGTGGTGGAGTGTAGGGAGGAGAGAGATAGGGAGGCGAGGTCGAGGTCGATGGTGTTTTCGAGTCTGCGCCGCTCAAGGTCGTAGAAGGAGGGGGGGATGGGGTCCATGGCGGGCGAGACGAGGGGGGGGAGCGAATGAACTGAGGGATGTAAAGTAAAGCTACGAATGGGCAAACATCCATGATGCTACATCTCCAGTGTTGACAGTGACGGAATCAAATCCCGGGAAAATCAAAATAAAATACGCGTAAGAATAATCAGTCAACGTGAGACACAACGCAGATGGTGCAGTGCATAGAGAGACGATACACTATATACATACAGACTAGCACTATACGGCAAAGGAGATAAACAAGATCAGGAAATCTAAAATGCCATTCAATACTTCTCCCCAGCCCTATCTATTCGTCCAACACCCCTAGACTCAAGCGCGCCCTCTCCAACCTGGCCCATCGGCACTTCCTCCTCCAACTGCTGCTCCACATCGCTCTTTTTCCCCTTCTTTTCCTTCTTTACCTTCTTTGGCTTGGGCCCGAAAGTCAAGTACTTTCCAGGCCAGAAGTACATGTAGGTGGCTACTCCCAGGAGCAGGGGAAGACAGTCGAGACCGAGATAGTATCTCTCATGCACGGCAATGTAGCCGATATATCTGCCGGATACAAGTGAGCAGAGGTAGATATGTGTTTCAGAATGGAACTCACCCTTGACTCAACTCAATGGTACGGTAGATGCTTCGGATAAGGAAGCAGATACACGTAAAGCCCAGAGCCCAGAAGAGAGGCTTCCACCCTTCACGGTTCCAGAGTGCTTTGTCTTCTTTCCATCTATTGACCTATCAGCTTTGAGCATTGACACGCCCGGTATGACTCACGTTCTGACACCGAATATGACCCAAGTAATGGAGAAGAACAAGAAGGAGGCCATCTGGATAGCAATACCGGCCAGAAAAATGTGTCCGCCCGTCTCGGCAACGTCGATATCCTTGGCAGTGGACAGACCGCCACCAGCGGCTTGAATGAGGAAAGTGACGACTGTTTCCATCAGCATCGCACTTGAGTGCAGAGTAAAGATGGCTCACCATCTGATATGATGAAAATCCATGACACCTTTGCGGCCCGGAGTGGGCGCAGTCGCTCATGCGCGTCAAGGTAAGATACTAGCCGACCCATGAGGATGTAGTCGCCTGCCAAAAAGGCGCACGGGGAGAGAACGACAAAGAGATAGCAGACGATGTAGAGACCTGCGCAATCCTGTCAGTGTCGGCCCTTTAGTGATCTGTGGCAAACTCACCAGTACTGTGGGGGTTCGACCTGAAGGCTACTCGCAAAACCAGTCCTATACCTTCACACCAACATCCTATGACCAGAGCCAAAAAGTAATTGGCTTTCCGACGGAATGAATCTGAGAAAAGACCGGAAGAGTAAGCAACGAAAGATGTAAAGAGATTGTGGACATACGGAAGGTCAACACGGCAGCCACCACAAAGTACAGGACTGCTGCTGCTATGTTGATAGCCCGGTTTGGTATATATCGCAAAGGATTGCAACTGCAGGGAAGGTCAGTCCATGACCTGTCTGTGAGCAAAACACCAGCTTACATGTCGGTGGAGGGGCTCAGATAGGGGTCTGCTGGGCACTCCACATCGAACGTTCTAGCCTGTGAGACTGAAAGAAGGCAAAGAGTGACCAAGGTGCCCAGTAGCATGTTTCGCCTGCTCATATCCAGCATGCTTGTTGTTTAATGTTTTCGCCTCTCTGGATCGCGGCGGTCGCACTTGTCGCTTGCTTGCTGAGTCTTGGCTGAGTCTGGATTTGCAGACTGATAGCGGATCGAGGCAGGCTTGGTGGGGTCTCAAGTCGCGTGTTTTTCGCCTATATTATATATCTGAAGGATTGCACTGCCACAGATAAGGCGGAAGGGTTGTTGACGAAACCGAAGCCGAGGCGTGGAGTGCTCGGAGTATCCAGGCTTGAGTGGCGCTGATTGCTGAACGGGGGACGCCTATGTCCAATCAAGCTGGGTGACTAATGGGGTAAAGGCGATATGAAGAAGAAGAAGATGAATGATTTGCATCTTTCGCTGGGAAGTGGGACGATTTGAGATGAACGGCCATCGTCAGGGAGGGAATGAGCGGAGAACTGCCCGCGCGATCGGCCAAGCACATCAGCCGGCTGCCGGGATGCCCATGTGGGACTGGGTTGATTTTGCAGTTCATGCCAGAGTCTTTCAACGAAGAGACGTGATATTTGGCGCTCCTGCAGCTACATGGCATCCTCATCCAGGACCAGCCTGCTTCTCATAGAAGAACCTTGAGCTGGTCAGACCAGTTGCACTCACCTGCTGACCGATCGCCGGGGCCTGTATAACGAGTGATCCTTTATTCCTTTGTAATGACCGACCCAACATGATCCTTTCAAATCGCAACAAAAGGAGACGGCATGCCGTCCCCTGGGTGGTCTCGGTACCATGCATTGATACATACGGCTTCCCATACATGCTGCAAAGACCAGGAGACAAGGTTTACAATGGCGGAAGATAGGAAAAAGTTCGCGGCGCCGCCTGGTGTGGGCGCTGGAAGGCCTGACCATCCCTTCGCTGTGACTGTCGAAGAGCCCATACCCGTGAGACCCTACTATATCGGTATGTGCGAGAGATGCTGATGATGAAGTCTTGATTAGAATGCAATCGTCCCGGACGGGTACGGGATCAAGTATCATGCCTATCATACCATGTACGTATCAGCCTGTATTCATCTTGCCATACAATGCTGACGGAAACGTAGCACGGAGGGTGTCTTGTGAGTCCTAAAGGAGACAATCGCAAGTACTGACAGCCTATAGCTTGCCAGCAGGTACATCACTCCCTGGCGGAGCAGTCTTGCCAATGTCAAGTGTCGCCGACTTTCCTATGGTGTTGCCTCTGGGGACCAAGTTGCCCGGAGGTGTGATGGTCCCTGTGAGCTCTGCATAAACTCGACGGCGGATCCGATACTGACTGTCAGTGAAGATTACGATGGAAAAGGTTTCCAAATCGTCCCCGCCAGCCAAAAAAAAACCGGGTCCAATCTGCAATATCCAATGACCCTGGGATTAGCGTAACCTGCATATGCATGTAGATATTGTTGTACACATTGTTGTTCTGCGCCCTGCTCCTCTAATCGTCGTCCCAGTGGCCCTGCTGTTTCGGCGGGGCGATACCAGCCTGCTTGGCGACAATAATACTGTCAACCCTGAGGACACTTATCGCCGCCTCCGTCGCAAGCTTGATAGCCCAGTCCTTCGCCACAAACGAATCGTGCACACCGAGCTCCTTGGCGCTCTTCACACCCAACTTTTCGCTCTCAATGTCGACGGCAGCGTCGAGATGGCCGTCCGCGTGCGCCTTGTAGAGGGACGACAAGACGTCTTCGGCGTTGAGACCGGCATTCTCGGCGAGCGTACGGGGCACAACTTCGCAGGCCTCCGCCCATCGCTTGATAGAGTGCTGAGCGAGACCGGCAGTCTTACCGCCATAGGCAGCGACTCGGCGAGCAAGCTCAGTCTCGGTAGCACCGGCACCAGGTACCAATCGACCATCACGCAGGAGCGTGCGGACAGTGTTGATACCGTCGTCGAGCGATCGCTCAAGGTCATCGAGATAGTTGGCGGTGGCACCTCGCAGAACGATAGTGGCTGTACGGGTCTTTTCGCCTTCCTCCTGACGAAGTACAGTCACACGGTCACCACCAATCTCAATAGTCTCAAAGACATCCACGAAACCAGCTTCTTCGGGGGTAGGGGCACCAAGACGGGCGAGGGGAGTGGCACCGACGACTCGGCACAATCGACGAAGGTCGAACTTGGAGAGGACCTTGATGACGGCAATGCCCATTCGGTTGAGGTAGTGGAGGGCGAGGTCTCCGATACCGGATCCAGCAATGACAAGCTTGACGCCAGAGTCGGCAATCTCCTTAAAGTACTATGACAGTCGTTAGCAGGGCTCATGCAACGCACAGACCACTTACACCCTCAAGCTGTTGCTCTTCGCCACGCGAAAAGTTCAACAAATCCTCCGCCTTCTTCAACAGAACAGTACCCTTGGTCTCGGTCTGAGAGATGTCCAAACCACAAGTGTAGACAGCGACCTTGGCCTTTTGCACATTCTTGACGTGACCTGCAAGTTGTTAGAGGGCTCAAGGACAAGACTACCAATGACTGACCTTCAGATTCTCGACCAAAGACCATACCCCTGACGACCCTACTAGCTTCTAATCCACCTCCCATCACCTTGACTACTCGGACAGAGTCGACGTTAAAGTCTTTGGGGTTTTTGGGCATGACAGCCAAAGAAGCTTCCGCGCAGAGGTTTGACAGGATACCTTCACAGCCGGGTTGCTTGGAGGCGAGAGAGGATGATATGGCGGCAGCAAGCTGCTCTTGGGTGGGGAGAGGGGAAGAAGGAATAATGGAAGTCACGAGAGCTGACTCATGTCAGCGCGTCTTCTTGAGATATAAGACCGGACTCACATTCAAGCTCCTCTCGTCCCCTGGCCAAAGCCATCTCGTAACCCTGGATTACGTCTGAAGGATGCAGACCCATCGTCAAAAGGTGCTCAGACCTCTTGAGCAATTCACCCGCGAAGATGAGGACGAGGTTGGTGGCATCGCCCATCTCTCCTTCCTGAGCAGTACTCGCCATGACAAGCAACTTGGCGGCAGGGTGCGCGACTTCGATTTCTCGGATGATCGTGGCGGCATCAGAGGTGACAAAGAGGCGGCCGAGGTGGTTGATGATGAGCTTGTTACGTCCATTGGGACCGAACGATGTCCTGACGATTTCACTCAGCTCGCCGACGGCAGCGATGTTCCTGAGGACCGCCTCCTCGAGGCCGGACATTTGCTTGTAGCCCGACTTGAAAAGGTCTGGTCCACCAGCTTTTGGGACTTTGAGGGCCATGATGGGAGGTGAGGGATAGCTGAATTTCGAGACGAGCTGGAAATTAGAACAGAGTGGAAGGTCGTCGCGACACGCTGCAGAAAGCTTCCGTCGTGCTTACGTATGCGGCTCAGGGTTGGTTCCGCTCCATTTCTTCGCTGCCCCCCGCCGCTGAGAACAAACATCTTTCGCCCTCCTCCGCCTTTCATCCACCGGCAGCCCCCGCATCCACCCAGACATCACCCAACATGGCCTTCACCACGTCGCCCGGCCAGGACGTCCCGTCTCTCGCAGCCGCCCTCGAACACGACAATCCCGACCACCCCATCCAGATCGCCCCAGAGCTCATGGGCGATGCGGGTGCACCTCCCGATATTCCCCGCACCGACCAAGAGCATGCCCAGGCCGCGGCTGACGCTACCCAGAATTTTGGCTCATACCAGAATTCTTCCGCACGCGACGACGACTTTCGCAACTGGGACAATGGGTCCAATGGCGTGCCCGGCCAGCGGACCAATCCCTGGGATGATGGCTACCGAGACCATCCATCGCGCGCCCATAGCCCTTCCGGCCAGAATTATTCCTACAACGATCAGTCGGGCGCGTCTGGTCACGACGGCGTGAACGACAACGGTGGCGATGGCTCTGACAAGCCGCGTAAGCGCGCAAGGCAGTCCAAGCCTCGTGGTGCCGTCGAGAAGAATGGTCTCAACGCCGACGGCTTGCCTGAGGAGGGTGTTCTGGATTTTGCCCATCCTTCCGGTGACTTCAAGCTCGGTCCTGTCTTTGTGCATCCTCCCAAGAATGTTGCCCAAGCGTGTGTCAGGTGCCACAAGATCAAGAGAAAGTGTGACAACGCACGCCCTAGGTGTGCTGGATGCGGCAAGGCGGACGTTGCCTGCGTCTTTGAGCTCAACCCTGCTACCGCGAGGTAAGTGTGCATGGTACTCTGTCTACGTTTATCTGACGCGTCTAATAGTTACGTCTCATCACTCAAATCTGACAACATTGCCCTCTCGACACAAATGGTCTCTGCTGCTGAGCGCATCTCTCAACTTGAAGCCCTCCTCGTCCAGTCCGGCCATGATATCCCTCCTCCCCCTCAACATATCGAGAGTGTCAATGTCAATCTAGCGCTTGCGGCTGTTGAGGCTGAGAAGCCTGGGCGCGAGCATGACGATGGACATGGCGAGAAGAGGTTGGAGCTCGAGGAGGCTATCGGTGCTGGTCACGATGACATGCACCACCTCAGTCAAGCTTTAGACGATGAGGAGGAAGCGAGGAAGAGAAGGAAACTGTCTGTGTAATAATATCGCTCAGTACGTCCTCTATTGTGTTCTAGCCTCCAAGCTGACCCTTCCTAGTCTCGAAACACATGGATTTTTACTGTCTTTTTCCTATTATATTTCGATCAAGATGTACTTTATATCGCTTTGTAAAGTAGCTTTCGCTGGGGGGCTTGACTCTGTTTCTTTTCCGTTCTCAAAGAGAGCTCCTTGATACCCTTCGAAGTCTTATGCAAATGTTGCCAAGTCAACTTCATAATTGAACCGCAGCGCATGTCGCGAAATACTCTCAGTAAAACTACAGCAATAGCATATTTGAAATCTGGTACAGCTGTTGACTAGTACTGTGATTGCCTTTCAGCGACATGCATGGACACACCCAGGGGGCTATCGTTTTCACGGGGGCCGGGGGACCGGGTGTACCGCCTCCTACAAATGCGATCGCTGACCGGCTGCCGGGACGCCTGACGGTTTCAGTGTGTCCTCTCTTTCTTGCGGCGGCCAATTGACGAAATAGGTGAAAAACAGAATGTGGTGCCCAACGTATATCAAAACACCACTTCGGTTGATGAGCTGGGTCAAATCGTTTGTGCTGCTTGCTCAGAGCAGTGCTCTAGGGCGAATACACAAGAAATCTCCGTGCCCAGCCTGAGGGTCGACATCCTTCAAGACGCATGGCAGTGCTCGTCACCCTTCATCCCTTCCCATGTCCTCGACTCCTCTGCTATCATCGACAACTGGGTACACTTCTGTCGCAAGTGCTCTGCTTGCATTGCTGAAGACAAGTCCAACGACCCTTCCTTCACCCATGCCTTCACCCATGCCTTCACCCATGCCTTCACCCATGCCTTCACCCATGCCTTCACCACGATGCCTTCACCACGGTCCCTTCTCTTTCACGTGCTAATGGCATGGTCCTCGGCGATATCCCTGCCGTGCTGGCTGGCCTCACGTGGGTGGAAACGGTCTGCATAGCTAGGATCAGAGCCAGTCGCTGCTGTGTCAAGATCAAAGGTCATGGCTCTCATCAGTCGAAAGGCAACGTTGTCATACTCCCCCAGGCTGCGTCCAAGCTGTCGAGGTTGCTCCCTCTTCCAGCTTCTGTGATCGCTAACGAGATCGTTGTCATCTGGGTTGCCAACCAAGCAGAGCCCCTCACTGCTGAGAAGATCCCCAAGAAGCTACTTACCGTCCGCCGGGACAAGATAATTGCTGCTCTGCAGTGGTTGAAAGAGAACAACCCTCTCTATAGTGATGTCTCCATTGATGGTGATGCGTTGATTGGCTACCCAGAGGACGGACATCTGCCGATGCCTTGCTTCAATTCTGTCGCCTCCGCTTCCACCGAAGCCGAAGGTGCTGGATATGTCCCCCTTCCCATGGGCCCTTCTCAGTCGTCTGACGCTTCCCAGTCATCGGAAGACGTCATGGTGGACGTCTCTGGTTGTGTCGACAGCAACAGCTCTGGTCATCATGTCGATCTGCGCAAAGTGTCCGCTCTGGCAGCGATCAAAGGCGGTGCTCAGTTTCTGGCGTATCCTTCCGGGACAACGCCCATGCAAGAATACTCGGCACCAGCGACCTTTGCATCACTCTACCCCCGCCTCTTCCCCTACGGCTGTGGAAGCTTCGAGGATCCCCTGCAGCCCAAGAAAGTCTCCTATGTCGCGCATGTTGCCCATTGCTTGAGGTGAGCTTCCTGGCCTGTTGCGCTTTTCGCTTCACAGCTGACGACATTGGCAATTTTTAAAGATACAAAGACCCCCGCTTCTCAACAGACGTCACCTTCCCCTTCGTCTGCCTGGACATTATCCAACGTCGCCAGGCCTCTTTCCAAGCTCACCTTCAAACCGAGAAGGCTTCATTCCCAGAACTTGTCCCTCTCCTGAAAAAGGTCGATGTATATAGACGCTCTGCATCTTTACCCGAGGACACCGTCTCCACCGGTCGTTACGCAGATGATCTTCGGCAGGAGGAGGACGGGACATTGTTGTCTCAGCCACTCTACCAAGAAAAGGGAGAGCTGCGCCAGTTGTCTCTGTTGCAGCCCTGCCTCGATCCTCAGGCATTACAGTCTGCTGAGCTCAGGACCTCCGAAAACGTCGCCTGAGTCGGAAGCGGAAGAGCTACCGGCCACCAAAGAGTCCGCAGAACCTGGGCTGCAAAGGCCGCTGGTGCGGCGTATCCTTGCATGGGCGTTGTCCCGGAAGGATACGCCAGAAACTGAGCACCGCCTTTGATCGCTGCCAGAGCGGACACTTTGCGCAGATCGACATGATGACCAGAGCTGTTGCTGTCGACACAACCAGAGACGTCCACCATGACGTCTTCCGATGACTGGGAAGCGTCAGACGACTGAGAAGGGCCCATGGGAAGGGGGACATATCCAGCACCTTCGGCTTCGGTGGAAGCGGAGGCGACAGAATTGAAGCAAGGCATCGGCAGATGTCCGTCCTCTGGGTAGCCAATCAACGCATCACCATCAATGGAGACATCACTATAGAGAGGGTTGTTCTCTTTCAACCACTGCAGAGCAGCAATTATCTTGTCCCGGCGGACGGTAAGTAGCTTCTTGGGGATCTTCTCAGCAGTGAGGGGCTCTGCTTGGTTGGCAACCCAGATGACAACGATCTCGTTAGCGATCACAGAAGCTGGAAGAGGGAGCAACCTCGACAGCTTGGACGCAGCCTGGGGGAGTATGACAACGTTGCCTTTCGACTGATGAGAGCCATGACCTTTGATCTTGACACAGCAGCGACTGGCTCTGATCCTAGCTATGCAGACCGTTTCCACCCACGTGAGGCCAGCCAGCACGGCAGGGATATCGCCGAGGACCATGCCATTAGCACGTGAAAGAGAAGGGACCGTGGTGAAGGCATCGTGGTGAAGGCATGGGTGAAGGCATGGGTGAAGGCATGGGTGAAGGCATGGGTGAAGGCATGGGTGAAGGAAGGGTCGTTGGACTTGTCTTCAGCAATGCAAGCAGAGCACTTGCGACAGAAGTGTACCCAGTTGTCGATGATAGCAGAGGAGTCGAGGACATGGGAAGGGATGAAGGGTGACGAGCACTGCCATGCGTCTTGAAGGATGTCGACCCTCAGGCTGGGCACGGAGATTTCTTGTGTATTCGCCCTCGAGCACTGCTCTGAGCAAGCAGCACAGACGACTTGACCCAGCTCCTGAACTGAAGTGGCGTTCCGATATGAATTGATCTTGTCGATGCAGTGGTCAAGAGATAACTGCTGGGGCCATTGGGCATGGTGGAAATCATGCAGGCACTGGTAAGATGATGAGTGAGTGAAGAAACAGGTCTGTGAGAAGGGAAGAAGTGGCACTCACGGTGCGAGGCTCCTGAAGAACATCCCCCGGTCGAAGGACATATGGCTGCGTGTTGGCTTCATCCTCTTCTTCTTCTGTGCCGTCCTCGCTGCCCGGCCCACAACAGCCGAACGGTTCCCTTCTTCATCGTACTGGAGGTCAAACTGTCAGCCATGGAAAGAGAAGGAAGGCGGAAGACGGACCTGTATGACCTGATTGCGCCGGTTCTAGGAGGACACACACGTCAGTAAAGACGGCAGAAGGGCAAAGATAATGTAGCACTAGCCCTTTTATGTGGACGATGATGGTCTTGAGATTCATCAAGCATGTGGCGTCGTCGATTTCGAGGATTTAGGCCAGAAGACGACGGAGGATGCGGGCGTCCCGGAGAGCAGTCCGGTGTGCTACTAGCTCGAGACTGTTGGCCTGAGGTCAGTCGATGTTATCGATTACAGCGCAGGGGAATAAAGACCACGGACAGGACCAGGAGCCACTCGAGAGGGATTGCCGTTCGACTGATGAGATCTGAAAGAGTTGACATTCATGTGAGAGTTCAGGATGACAGGACGGTTCAGGATGACAGGACGGTTCAGGATGACAGGACGGTT